AACACCAGGTACAGCTGTTCTGAACAACTTCTTCTCAATAAAGCATGTGCTTTCAAAATGTTTGCTGCAAAGCATCTTATGTTTTGCATGGAGTTCATCCTGGAATTTTGGTGAAGACCAGGCTTTGTATGGAAAGCAATACTTTGCCCATAATTCACAGCTGGAAATTAAAAAAAAAATTAAAATTAAAAAATAAAATACGAAATTAAAATTAAAAAGGAAATTAAAATTATTTTATCTCATCTACATTGCAATGATAAATGTCCAAATGCCCAGAGACTGACAATGAAAAATGCTAGTCAGAATAGAAAGACTTCTACTGATAATACTGCGGATGGCGACCCTTCAAAAAGGCGCAAATCTGACTATTCTATATGTATGGGTAACAGAGGCATCCATTGGTCTACATTCGTAGAGAACAGGGGAAGGTGTAAAGTTTGTAGCTTGAATAAGGTTCAGTCGAAACCTCATAGTAAATGTTCGCATTGCAACGTGTTTTTGTGTGTAAATGAGAAGAAAAATTGTTTTGTTGAATACCATGAGGTTAATCTGTAAAGTCCGTGTAGTGACGGATTAAGAATACGGAATGTCACTACCCCGATTCATCCCGTGGGTGTCGTAAGAGTCGACTAAGGGCGAAAAACAACGCAGGACACCAGCTCTGCAAAAAGAAGGAAAACTTGTCACAAACCCTATACCAACCCGTCTGGCCAGCGTGGTATAGTAGGCCAAAACCTCCTTTCTAAGGAGAGGCCTATGTTCAGCAGTGGACTGTTACAGGCTGTTGATGTGATGTGATGTGAATCTGTAATTAAAAACCTAATAATTTAATTATTACTAAGTCAATATTGGATCTCATTATTTTGTAGTTTCTATCCAAGTTCCTAACATTGTGATAACACGAAGTTCCTGACGTCACTTTTAAGTCTAGGTCTTGGAAATAGTACTTCTAGGTATAATAAAAATCTAAAAAAAATCTGTGCGTTTCGTTTTACTTACCTTATCATGTAAATAAAGTTCAAAAGCGAAAATTTGTTAAAAATCACTACCCCGGGGGGAAAGGGTTAATAATCATATTTTTAGTTAAGTTTTATCTAAATAACAATCTAAACTTTCTGTATTTCCTTTGATTGAAAGAGATTTAAAGGATGTAAACAAATAGCATGGAAAGTACTTAGGTAGGTACATACCGCAGAGCATTTTTTGAGCCAGGCTTAGGAAACCGATGCAAAGTGATGCTGGAATCTTTAGAAGGTGAAGATCCACACATGCAACAGATTCTAGTGTTTTCTTTCTGCGAACTCATTGCGAAAATTAAACACACAATCAAACAAGAGTCACTATCTCAACACCGAGTCTATATCTCACAAACACACACTTAATTTCACCAAAACACAGCCACGGAGGAGCAAACTCGACTCACGGTAACAATGTATGTAGAATTAAATGCAACTAGTTTATTTATTACAAATAAACATAGGTACAAGATAAAATGGTGCGGGAACCGCAGGCAGACATTTTTCTTGTGACGTCAAACGTGTTGCCAGTAGTTGCCACACATTTTCCCCCTTATCTTTTTTTTGTTTTTGTGTATTGATCAATTAAATATGTTATATTTCTTAGCAAAATAATTTTTTTGGGTATCAGAATAATCACAAAATGTATTTTTAAGGGTGACTTTCTTTTTTAGCTCATTGTTTTGGAGAATACGAAATTGTATTTTTGGTGGCAACATTTTATAATTCATCTCTTTTACTCTAATGTTGTTGTCTCTTTCTTGTTTTCAAGCCCACCTACATCTTGTTCTAAGAACAAAGTTGACAGACCCTGTATATCTCGCACATCTCACATACGGCGGTCTGATCCCAAACTAGGCAGAGCCTGTACCCAGACTGCTGATAAACATACGTTTATGTTTTTAAATAGATATACATATATTATAGATAAATTACACCCAGACACAGAACAAATAGTTGTCTGCCTGCTAGTAGCCCAGCTAATGACCCTAGAGCAAGGCTAACCCGACATTATACCGAAGATATCCCGGACATCAGCCAGTACGAGATTGGGATGGCTCTGAAACAGCTTAAGAATAACAAGGCACCGGGCGATGACGGAATCACATCTGAGCTTCTGAGAGCGGGTGGCAAACCCAAGGAGGACCTTGGGTTTGCCACCCGCTCTCAGAAGCTCAACGAAACGGAATTGAAGAGCTTCTGGAGGACCAGAAGCTCTTCAATTCCGTCTTGCTCGAGGGACACACGCCAGAGTCATGGAGCAGGGGTGTGGTGGTACTTTTCTTCAAGAAGGGCGATAATACCTTATTGAAGAACTACAGGCCCATCACACTGCTGAGCCATGTCTGCGAGCTGTTTTCAAGAGTCATCACGAATCGTCTCCAACGTCGGTTTGATGACTTCCAGCCTCCCGAACAAGCCGGTTTCCGAAAAGGCTTTAGTACCATAGACCACATACATACGCTGCGGCAGATTATACAGAAGACCGAGGAGTATAATCGACCACTATGCTTGGCGTTTGTGGACTATGAGAAAGCCTTCGATTCGATCGAAACTTGGGCAGTCTTTAGGTCTCTCCAGCGGAGCCGTATTGACTATCGGTACATCGAGGTATTGAAGTGTTTGTATAATAACGCCAATGTGTCAGTTCGAGTACAGGACCAGTACACGAAGGCAATTCCATTACAGAGAGGGCTAAGACAGGGAGACGTTATTTCTCCGAAACTGTTTACCGCTGCTCTGGAAGATGCCTTCAAGCTCCTGGAATGGAAAGAACTTGGCATCAACATCAATGGCGAATACATCACTCACCTTCGATTTGCCGACGACATCGTAGTCATGGCAGAATCGCTGGAAGACCTGGGACAAATGCTCGCTGACCTTGACGGAGTTTCTCAACAGATCGGCCTTAAAATGAACATGGACAAGACGAAAATCATGTCGAATATCCATGTCGCGCCGACTCCCATAGTCGTGGGAAACTCTGTCCTCGAAGTTGTTGACGAATATGTCTACCTAGTACAAACGGTCCAATTAGGTAAGTCCAACTTCGAGAAAGAGGTCAATCGTCGAATCCGACTCGGCTGGGCAGCGTTCGGGAAATTACGAAACTTGGCAGTCGTCGTCCGACTGCCGCGTCACTGCCACACGAATGAAAGTTGTATATTTACAAGCCCACGCACACATAGCGACGCGCGCACAACTGAGTTGAACTATCTATACACATATCGTAAAAAAAAAAAAAAAACCGGAACCTTTGGGTAAAAATGGATAAAATTGTAATATCTTATAGTAAATTATCTGGTTTATCGAATCCTTAATGGTGGATCACTATTTACGCCACACCCTGTGTATATATATATATATATATATATATGACATAAACATACTACTGGCAAACAAGAAACAATAAAAGCTAACCAGGTAAATAGAAAACCTCTTAAAATTAATTGAAAATATAGTCATTATAATCCGTCCTTGCTTTGGGTCAGTGACACAAATTGGTTTAACTACAACTCAAGCAGTTTAGTTATGACGCTTCTTTAGACCCGGCCTAGATTGATTATAGGTATGCACCTATAATTATCAATCTAGGCAGTCATTGCACCTTGGATTTAAACTAATTTTGTAGGAAACTTCAATGGAAGTTATTAACCCTTATTTTTACTACTGAATATGAAGCGCTTGATGTATTTAAGAGACAAAACAATATAGTCTCAACTCAACTCCGCTAATTGTTGAGTGAATTGGTTCAGTTCCTCTTATCGATAGACGAAGTGATATGCAAGGCCACTGAAAATAGCCGAAAACTCTTTCACAAACTTTAAACTAATAATTTTTGGAGAATTCTAAATAATATTCTTAAGTATGAAAAGGAAAGATGATGATGAAAAGGAAAGAAATTATGATTATGAAAAAAATATATTTATTGAAATTTATTTATATTTATAGAAAACAGCTCGTATACATTAATGTTTTATAAATTTACTTTACAAAAAAAAATCAGTTTAAAGTCTCTAATGGTTTAAAATGGTTTACTAAGAATGAAATATGGTTCTGCCGACTCAAATACGGAAAATTATTTAAAAGTAACAAATAATTGCTAAAAGTTTAGAAATTATTTGTATCTTACTAAAACAATTATTATTACAACTATTTTTAGTTTTAAAAATAACTAGCGACTTGGACAGACTTCGCCATTACAGTATTATTTTTACTATTTTAAACCGTTAATTTCCTAGAATACAAAACATACTTAATTATATCTATTCGGCATTTATGATAATTCAACCAGGTTCATACGTTGCATTTTCAAGCCTTATACAACTTAGGAATATAAGAAAAGTGGCGACGCAAACAGCAACTGCATCACAACAAAATTTATTTAATTTACAACCTGCAATTCTCTACATTAAACGAATAAGTAGAGGCCGGTGTTCGGTAAACACCAACCATTGTGCAAAACCGACGACTGCGACACACATATTTATTGGAATTCACGAGGCGACACTCCTGTACAAATAAGTGACAAGTTAATTGTATTTACATTTTTTGCAAAATGAATAGATAAAAGTATTAGTAGCAACATTAATGAAAAAAAATACACTTACATCTATGCATATTTTACTATGATTTTAAATTTCAAGTCCAGCTTGCACAGCTTGTAGTCACAAATATAGGCTATAGTTTCAACGACACATTGGGTTTTACATTATTTTTAGTTTAAAAAAACTTTTAAAAAAAAACATTGAACTATAATTATCTTTACTAGGACACATATTAAGACAACAAGCTATAATATTGGCACAAAATATAACATTCATAAAATTTGTTCGAATTGCGATGATTGATAAACTACTTGCACCTTAAGATGAACAAAAAAAGTAATATAAAATAATTAGTCGTGTGAATTTGAATTGCGCTATCCAGGAACATTTCGTGTTATCACAGAATGCTTGTGTATTAAAAGACGCTTGTTTTGTTTTAAAAATTGATATTCTGATTGATAGTAGTCCCAAACTGGTATTCTTCTTCAGTTTGAGTAGGCTGTGCATTAACATCATCTTGATCTGAGAAATATGTGTCCAGAATGTGTAATGCCTTCTTGTAAACCTGTAAGTAAATATGAATAAAAAATTAAATAAAAATGCTATCAGCTGAAATAAAAGAAGATGATACTATGTAACCATGAGGATGACAAAAATAGGGTTGAAGCAAATAATACACTAGGGGTACTCATAACTACAAAATAGATTTGCTATTGATGAAAGACGTCTATGACAGTGAACCCATCGAAAACAAAGATGACCTCATGTTCACAAACAAACGAAGTCTAAGAAATCTTAAACTTCCTAAACTATTTTAAACACAACTGACTCTTACCAATGAGGTGAAATGCCTAGGATTTATACTAGACAATAAACTCCTGTGGAATAGGCACCTCGAAGAGAAACTAAACAAAGTCTGCATTGTCTTCTGAGAATGCAAACAGCTACTCGGCAAAAGCTTTGGACTATCACCAAAGATAACACTATGGCTCTACAAAACAGTCATACGACCAATAATTACGTACGGTGCCGTGAGAACAGAGTTAAGCACCGTCATCAATAGATTGCAGCAATTCCAGCGACTCCCATGCTCTGCGGTCACTGGCTGGCGCACAAAGCCAACTGCTGCACTAGAGTTGGCTCTTGGTATGCCCCCATTGGACTTGTTCATACAGCAAGAGGACTCAGACACCTGGGTCTGTGGCACAAAGGCGAGGCATCGCACTCCAAATTATGGGATTAATTTGTGGAATATGAGCCTCTGTTAGCAGCCCTATCCCAAAACACCATATCACATTCTGAGGCAAGAAAATGACCAAGATTAATCTGGCATAAACGAAGTCCGAATTTACACGGACAGGGACTGGGTCCGGAGTTTTCTCACAAGACTTAAGCAAGAACATATCACTAGCGTTAGGCCAACACAGTTCCATTTTTTCAATGCGAATGTGTTGCAATAACTTACGCCGCAACAACGGCCATGTCAAAGGGTATTAAGGACTACAGCATCCATATACTGTCAGACAGCATGGCCGTCCTAAAGGCACTGGAGGGCAACAAAATGACCTCTGGTATTGTCTTCGAATGCCATCAAGCATTGGAGCAGCTTGCCACAACAAATGGTGTGCTGCTGCAATGGATTAAAGGGCATAGTAATTCACACGGGAATGATGCTGCATCTTGGCAAGGAGGGGCTCGGCAACCCCGGCCACCGGCCCAACCACACTCCTGCCACTGCCTTTTAACCAAGAAGGTAGAAAAACTCACCCGGCTGCAGACAGTCCAAACTGGTGCTGACTGAAATCTCACCACTGCTTACTTGCAGACTGATCGGTCTTAGCAGACTAGATATCCGAATAGTTGCAGGAACCATAAGAGGGCACCTAGCCCTGAACCGAAAACTATACATCATTAATGTGACGGACAGTCCTCTTTGCAGAGGATGCCTGAAAGCACAAGACACGGCCACCCACGTAATCCTGGAATGCGAGGGAGTGGCCACACAACGGGCGTGTACCATACCTGGTACAAAATCGCTCCTAGAATCCTGGGAGATCCCCAGGAGGCTTTTGCGCTTCTGGAAGGAGCTTGGTTGGCTTACCTAGCCAACCTCTTCTAGACGCATAAAGGACCACCCTCGACTCTAAATGCGGAAGTCGGAGCCCACAACCAATACGACTATGATTTAAGCTTTGTCGTAGATATATTCCCAGAATTTCTTGTTCGCTAAAATTTTAAGGATTTTGCATTTAAAGTTCTCAAATGGCAATAACTTCCATGTCATCTTTCCCATGCAAGAAGGTAATAAAATTTGACAAAAGTAACTAACATCTTCATTTTCATGCTGCTGTAGATTTTCGATCAGGTCTAATGCTCCCATTTCTTCTAACTTTAAACATAGAGGCTCTACTTGTCCGAATTTTACTGCAGCCTGTAACAAAAAGTATATTTTTACATCATATAATTTAAAAGGAATGGATTAAATTTGGAATATATTTAGTAAGAAGCTCTATTGGTTTTTGTAATTCTTTATCTATTATTGCTTTGTCCACTACAAAGTTACAGTAAGAAATAAAGGTGTTTTTTCAATAAAAAATTAAGAAATGGTTTTTTGAATTTGAATGGGTTTAGGTAGGAAACGTATGTAAATGTTATTAGTACGCGCCAAATAAATCTGCGCCAACGAAGTTCGCGTAACTAGAGCCGCAAATCACAATATTAAGTATCAGAGCGCATCATTAGAGGTGGGGGATCACGTGGCCGCAGACACATTGCAAGGTCAGTTGTGTATCTCTCTTTAGCGCATCAAGTAATTTTACTGCTTTGCTCTAACGTACTATTATGAATATAATTTTTATAGTTTCTGTTAATATTCATATTTGTTTTGTGTTTATTATCTGTTTTGTTATTGTCGTTGTACTCTTTATATGCATTTTTCAAAATAATGAGACCAAACTCCGTATTAACAGGGCAGGCCAGAATAGTTTTAATGTAGGTATAATAACTACTTAAAAGCGGAACTACGAAACTACAAAATATACTTAGGAATGGAAAAAAATGAGAATTTACCGAACGCCTGTTATTGAACATAAATGTAGTTAGTTCCTACCTACCTTTGCGATCTGCTGCTATTTTTGATATGATAAATTATTTAGTTATTTGCCACCTTAATAGAGTAAATATTAAACATGCGTCTAATTATTGATGTGCTCATATATCTAGTGTGAAGTCATTAACAAAAGCGTCATAATATGTAATATACTTGAACCTAACTTTAAAAAAATCATATCAACCTTACGGTAATTATGTCAATCTGATGTCAGAATGACGTCATGCCACGTCATTTTTTACGTAAGATATAATTCATATGTGATGTGAGTCATGATTTTCCTCTTCTTGACGTAATATTCTTATGTAAGAGATGACGTAGATATGGCGTCTTTATGACTTGATGATATAACGCTGATGTCATAGAGAAGTAAGGTTGCTGACGTACTTGTCATTTAGCTGACGTCAACATGACTTAAGTTTGAGGTAATATAGTGATGTAAAGTTCCAAATGCTTACAAAAATGTGACGTCTTCCCCTTTACGGAAATCTTTAGTAAAAGGCGAAAGCTTTATACATTATGAAAGGAAAGTTATAAAGAGCCGCAATAAACCTGCATGTGTAACAAAACCATAAGGCGGCTCAAAAAATTTTTAGCACGCCATCTATCGGGATAAGAGGTAGTTGTCATAACCACTCTTTTTTTATGGAATAGGGGGCAAATGATCAGACGGGTCACCTGATGGAAAGCGACTACCTCCGCCCATAAACGCCTGCAACTCATGAGTCACAAGCGCGTTGCCAGCCTCTGAGGAAGGAGTAGTTTCTTGACGGTTTGAAGGTCGTATCGGTCCGGAAATACCGTAGCCGTAACTTGATATACAGGTTAATAGTGCGAGGCAAAAAGTGTCTTGAAAGCGCACAGTGGGGGAGCGCCAATTATCCAAGTGGTAGGGATGAAAGTTTTGCAGTGTGGAACGATGGCGGAAGGTTGCGGCCAGTATTAGTCCAAACAATTCCTCGGAGCACTCTCCATGATATATACGATAGAGAATGCAGAGCGAAACTACATATCTACGTAACGCCAAGGAATCGAGCCGGTTGCAAATCTTTTGGCTTTCGACGATTCGAGTGGCTCTTCTAAGTTTTTCGGTTTGAATATGAACGAATTATTGCCTATTCTACAGTAATTTTTGTTTAATTATTACGGGACTACAATATATTCTTATTTGATAATATTTGAATAGGAATATAAATTTATCATATTATTTTATTAAATAGAGTGTTTCACTAGGCTTATGGTGTAAAAAATCTGCATTCTGCATATAATAAAGAAAAATAATAAAGAAAAACAAAAAGTTTGTTACGATTCTGAAATAAAAAGGGTCGAAAAAAAGTAAATAACGTCACGAATATGATAAGGAAAGGACATAACATTTACGTAAAATTTAAGTCACAATGATGAAATCATATAAAAGTCAAGTTTTAGGTGAGTACTAGTTTATACCATATGACATCATATCAAAGTCGTCTATAAAGTCATTTTTATGTCATATCTGTGTATAAATTCTATGACCTATCCATTATGTCATATGGAGGTCATGTGTTCATTGGGTTATACATTACATAATTCTGAATTAAATACATTGAATTTATTACTAACTACGTGTTTGTAACTTAATAATGCACGAAAACAGTATATAAAATGTATTTGTTTGTTCAGTACATTTGTTTGCGAGTTACCTGCGCAACATTCGGTTTGCAGTTTAGTTTTTTGCTTTCTCCGGGTGTTTTTGTAGCCTATTTATTTTATTTAAAAATAGTTTTTTCTTTTTAAATGATCCACTATCTCGCTCTTTTACTCATGAGTTCAACACTGTACCTTGAATACCTGAATCATATCTCTCGGGCGTTGCGTTTTACGTTACAGCCACGTAAAGTAAGCATGCAACTAGTTTTATCTTGCACGTGTCAAATCTTTTGAAACAGTTGACGGAATCAAAGACCTTTTCTTTAATATGTGGATGTCCATGTAATAAACCTACCTGTAATAGATTACTTAAGCCATCTAATACGACAGTGATAGCTTTATGATCTTTTGCGGATAGTAATGAACAGTAAGGCTCCAAAAACCCAGCTGATAGAAGCGCGTCTAGCTGTTCAGGAGTCCCTCCCAGGCATAGATTGGTTATTGCCCAAGCGGCTTCCTTCTGAGACCTAAAAATAAACATTTTGATGTCTATTAGTTCTTCGCAAGCTGTTTTGTATTTAAGGGTGTGTTACATTTTATTTTTAAATTCATCATCCTCTGGGTGTCGTAAGAGCCGACTAAGGCAGCAAATTAAGCAGGACAACAGCACTGCAAAGGAAAATTTGACACAAACCCTAAACTAACCCGTCCGGCCAGCGTGGTATAGTAGGCCAAAACCTCCTTTCTAAGGATAGGCTTATGTCCAACAGTGGATTATTGAAGGCTGTTTGATGATGATGAAGATAATTGTTTAGAAAAAAAAATAACATTATCAAAAAATTAAGTTCTTTGAAGGATAAAAGGAGCTCAAGTAATTGCTGACCATAGTATTCATAAGAGAAATGGTATTTATTAGGCAAAGTACCCAAACACTTACTTGATATCTTCATGACCAATGACATGAATCAAATGTGTGAGCACTCCACTGTCGATGGCGCGCTGTATCTGCGCCTGAGTGCCAGCTAGGATATTGCTGACTGCCCACGCCGCTTCCTTCATTAGGGATGACTTGCCACACCGGAGTAGGGTGATAATGGGCTCCAAGCAATTGGCATCTAGGCAACGGTCCGTCTATCGAAAGATAGTGTTCATTTTTATTATACACATATATACACCTATATATATCACCGAATGGGTAAACAAAGGCGTATAAATTCGGTTAGAGGGTTTGGCTTTCCTGGCAACAGTCAGTTCCAGTTACAGATATGTAGCCCTGACCTACTTATACATCAATGAACCTGGGGTGTAACTTCAACAATCGTTAGTGGATATTTACTACATCCCTTGTTTATTGAGTAACGGCGGTACCTGCACCAATAATTGGCTAGTTTGTAATAAATTACCCGAACTTTTTAAAAGCACTGGTATAAGTAAGTAAGGTTATGTAATACGTTCCATGAGGGTCTCTCCCATGCTAAGAGAAACTCGTCAGCAGTAATAAATACCATACTAAGCCAGTGAAAGTAGTTAATGGCTGTTTACTGCTGACTGGTCGAAATACGAGTACATTACAACAGGAACAGTTAATATCCATTTAAGCAGAAGAAGAGTAAGGTAGAGTTGATTAGGACAACCTAATGAGAAGTTCCATTGGAAAGTACACAAAAAGGTTACAACGACATTCCTCCGTCTATAATTGTTTGCTAAATTAGTTGTTTAAAGAAATATATAATATACCTCCTAGAAAAGTAATATTCTTATAGTGGGGATACGTTACCTGTTCATCAGAGCCGGTAAGCATGTTCCCAATGGCTCTGAGGGCGGGAGTCCTAACGGCGGGGGCTTTGTGATCCAACAATTTGACAAGACGAGCCAGAAGTTTAGGAGTCTGCTGGACTGATTCTATACGTTCATTGGGTCCGTCCGTAAGGTAAGAAAGGGCCCAGCACGCATCGGCTGCAAAAAATTGAGGATATTATTTTAAAGTGTGTGCCAATCAACTAATTCGTACAATACAATCATATTTTTGGATTTTTAATTGGAGACTTGTGACTGTTGACTAAATAAAATGTTGACAAACTTATTTCTGGCATAAAGATTTGATTGGATAAAATGCTATCCTAAGTTTTTTCTTTTTATTTCCCCCTCTCTACTGAATAGGCGTAAAATGTCTATTAATCATAAATTAAATATGCTACAATAACTGTCATCTTTAATCATTTTCGCAATCTTATGTTAGAAAAACTACAAGCATACAAGTGATACAAAATCTATGGTAGGTACATATGGACAGTTTTGAGTAAGTTTGTGCTTTGAGCACAAAATAGTCCACATGATCAAAGCAACTTACCTAATACATCTTGATCAGCAATTTCAAGTAATTCCGAAACGTATGGTAGTGCTGGTGCTACGTAATCGAAAAGCACCAAGGGATTTTTGTTCCTGTAAAACAAAACATCCTTTTTGTTCACCAGATAATGGTAGAATGTGGCTAGCATCTAAAATGTACCTACTAACAACTCTGTATACCCATATTGCGACAAATAAATATATTATTATTATTATTAAATCCGAGAAATTTAATGAGGTAATACATATGCTTTTGCATTAGGTACATAAATACCGCACATTTCAAAAATACGTACGGTAACTAATTTTTATGTTGCAATGCTCTGATTTTGAAACATGTTCGTCGGCCAGAAGATAAAAGGCATAGCTATACTATTATCTACATAAGAAAGATTACTAATGCTATTGTTGACCTTATTACAAATACCCTTACAGTAATAAATAAAATAGTAGCGTAGTAGTAGTAGTAAAACATAACAGTAAAATACTACATAGGGAAAATTCTGTTTTCGCTCGACAATTGCCTGTCTCTGCATAAGCATCGCTCTCAAACGCAAAAAAATTACACACATTAAGCTTTGTAACTCTTAAGGTCGTAGCAGACTTAAAGGACTTCGCTCATACCGACGATATTATTTTAATGAAGACTGATCACAAACTGTGTCTGTTGCAAAGAGTGAAAGCACTCGGTACGTGGACAATACGTAAAGCTTATTTTAACTCACCTGCAAAAATTGCTGTAGGTCCACACAGCAGTCCTCAACTGACTGGCAGGAGTGTTTACAGTCATGAGGGGCAGCAACACAGGCAGGGCACCTTGGGCTAGAACTGCATCTCTTGTCTGAGGTCCATCCCCTGCTATGTTGCCCAAGGCCCAGGCAGATTGTTCACCTACAACTCCACCGCGGGCTAGGAGAGAAATTAGCTTGGGGATTGCACCACCCTGAAGACAACAGAATTCCATCAAATTTTTAGAGCAGCTAACTCCAAGCTTTTTTACTAGTATTGTAATAAAATCTTCAAATTAAACTAATTGTTATGCAGTTTGTAGGACCCAATCCCCCGTCCATAATGTAAAATGTTTAATAATAATTTACTTCTTTATTTATTCATTCATTCATTGGGTGGCTTATACAAACAGCGTCTTTTCGCACTGGATAAATCTCTTACATTAATTATGAGATGAATAGATGGACTTGAGAGGCAGTATGATACATCATATAGTGTATGTACGAAACGTACACGGTAAGTACATTATCTATGTAAAATATATAGCTAGAACATATATACAACACAACAATAAATATTTAAAGGGGTATACATATAGTATACGGGTATAATAGGCATATTTACATAGTTCCCAATGAGGACGCTTTCCACCTTTTTCTGTTTGTTAGCCTAGATCTTCTTAACTACGGAATGTTGTTGCGTAGTTAAAAAGATCTAGGCTATGACTTTGCCTCCTATGAGTCTCATAGCATATTCGAAGGACATCGTACTGTATCCTCTTATGAAATCGTCGGAGGATTTCATCCATATTGGCGCCCGATATAAGGCCATGGATCTTATAATATTGTTTTCGATTGTCTCCTCCCTGCTAAGAGCATAGGTAAACAACGAGAATTAAGTGTCTTCATTAGCTTCAAGTTCAGATTTGGGAAGTGAATCCTATCAACTGTGAATTATTCGCCGTAGATATCCGAGACTCAATCAATGCAGATGCGAACGCCTGCTAAGAAGCAAATGACCATAGATTTATGTATACGGCGGTAGTTACAATTAACAATTACTTCATAGTTAACCATTGCAGTTCATTGTTGCTTCCTTTATATCATGTCCATGGAATCGGTAATAAAGTTAAAATAAACAAATTACAGACTGTAAAATGTAAGAGGGAGGACATAGAAGTTTGCACTCCGGGTGCTGCGCAGGAAGTCTATAATGTTAAGAGGCGAGCGTGCAAACGCACTGTAGGTAGTTTGAAGTGGAACACTTGTGGGGGGTGCGGGGTCGGGAACCTTCACGTGATGCACCCTGGGTAACGAAGACGGCAGCGACCTCTTTCTAGGTGGGGTAGGCGCTACTGCCTACGGTAATCTCTGAAGAGGTGGGAGCACCCTCTCGAGGGTTGCTTGGAGGCTTCCGCGTGTCCCTCTGTTTAGCGGAGGGCACAGTGGAGAGCAAGCAAGGGGGCGCACGGAATATCCACCGCTGGCTTTGACCAGAGGTGGTCGACAATGGTCTGATGCAGACCACCGTCCGGCCCAGCCGTAATCCTGCACGGACAGGACCAGTGGCTCTCCGGACCCGCGAGGACGTAAACCTCAATAAAAAAAACCCCAAGGCCACGCTCTGACGCCTGGCAAGGGACTGTCGCTGGAGAGGTTCCAGTGTCGAGGGCGTCTCATCGAAGGATATTAAACTCAAAATTATGGCATGGGCAAGGAAAAGGTAATACCTTCAAAGGAGGGTTCCGGGGGAGCAACCAAAATGAAGCGAAAGACGCGCATAGGCTTGGGGTGTTGGACTCTGACACTACCTCAGAAAGGAGCGACGCTAGCACCCTAACAGTGTCAGCTGCAGAGCAGTTCCAGCGGAGTGCCCAAAAGCGCAAAAGACGCTGCCAGCCCGACAGAGGAAAGAATAGCCCCATGGAGTCGGCCTCTAGTGACGAGGCCGCGTCACCAAAAGCCGTCCAGGGGCTCGTGGCGGCGGCTGACCTTCCAAAAGCGGTCGGCCCGCCCAGAAGGTCAGGCAGACAAGCGGATCCGCGACAGCAAAAAGGGCCAAGGGTGAGCTCCTGCTCAAGGCCCTTTTTGAGAAGGTCGCATCTGACAAGCCGACCACCCCCGCCGAGAACAGCTTGAAGGAGCTACGCCGCAAGGTCGGAAACCCCGTGGAACGCATTAAAGAGGCAATCGGCGTAGCCGATAGATATGACGGCTGTACGCTCTACTGTTACTTTTTTTTAAATGTATCATTTTTCCTCGACGCTTCTACCCATCGTCTATTAAAGCGAGGACTAAGATTCCTTTGAATATCACTGATAATAAAACAAATGTCGTCTTTAGAAACATTATAGTTTGCTTTTAAAACTGTTGATAGAGCTTCAAGTTTTTTTCCTCCTTTAATGTATAAAAGTAATAATTCACGCTTAGAACACTTGAAAGTAGTAGACATTTTGAAATTCAGCAAAGATATGAAACAGTCAAACGTCTGTTTAGTTTATTACGAATTGGTAATAGCGCCATTAAAGGAAGCCACTCTTTATATATTTTTGATAAATGAGGGTGGTGTGCATTTTGTTTATTAAAGTTGCCCGCAAACTGTGTGCAAATTGTAGATAAAACTATTATGTAGATAAAATATTATCAATAAACAACTAATATTGAATAAAAATATACCGCAAAGTAATCAATTAAATAGTTATTACTTCGGAAACCGCACGTATCCGCAGCTGATTTTCATAACTGTCATTTATAAATATCTACGCAACATCTGATGTAAAGTGTCGGGAGTTGTCGGTAACTGTCAAAAGCCTCGATGAAGTTAAAACTTGGCCTTTTTCCCCTCACTCATTTAATATAATAATAAAACCTACAATATTATAATTGCTTTAAAATCTACATACAATGGGCTTTTTAGAAATGTATAACACTATAACTTTTCTCATAATTTTTTGAAATAAATTAATTTTAAAGTATTGAAGCGAACAAACATGAAATAGACATTCTTATGAATTACACTTTGTGGTATTAAAAAAATATATTCCAAATGTAATTCATACCAAATCACTACATTATATTAAAGTTCCATTCTTATACTATTCAATAAACTTTTAAAAGTGCGTCAATAAAGATATTGTTCTCCTGTTTTCCATAGTGCGTCGTCCGGGTGCCCGCGCCAGGTCGGGACTGAAGCCGGGGGGCCGGCATTCTGTCCCTAAGTCGTCGACGGGAACAGAAAGTGTAGCTGGAGAGCAGCAAGGTTCGTAGCGGAATGCGTTTATGGAAATCCAATAATGGATCCACATATCCGCATCCTCCAGGCGAACGTGGTTCACGGTGCCGTTGCTCGGGGTCTTCTGTTCCCACATGATCGGGGGAACAGAGTATCCTGAGTCAATATCTGGGTTCCTTACAGGAGGGGGTCATCCATAATGCATGGATGGTCCGAGGTGCGTCGGGGTTCTTGATTTCCGTCCCACTGGTGGGTGGTATCCGCACGAAAAAAAAAAGAAAGTGGAACACTTGTGGCAAGCATTAAGACTAGGTATATTCGTAATATCAATTAGCGTTAATCGTAATTCAATGTCGTATCCGATAAAGTTAGCAGCAGCCATAAAGTTAGCATCTTCCTATAGTGAAAACTATTTGACTAAGTAATAAAATATTTAACTTACATCAACAACAGCCATGGTGTGTTCATGAGTGCCAGATGCTATGTTGGTGATCGCCCAAGCAGCCTCAAATTGTAGATCTGGACTATAATATAACAATGAAGGTATATACTGTTTACATTCCATTTTTAGGCATTAGTACTTTACATGAGCTGGATAACGCACAATTATTAACTCTGTTCCTACTTTGAGAACACGTTACTCTTTACAATTTTAGACAAACATAAAGACAAGCCAAGCATGAAGTACATTTTATTGGTTAACATGTTTACCATTCTTCTCTATCTAAAGCCTCCACCAAAGGCTTGATGACACCAGCGCTGACCATGGAAGTTATAGGAGGGTTTTGTTCCCTAGAGAGCATGCGACGGGCAGCGCGAGCTGATGTAGTTTTGGTGGCCAGGTCTTGGGCACGGAGACCTGGAGAACAGCAAATGAGAATATTAAAGTACTCAAAGCCTACTCTCTGTAGGGATATGCATGCAGTTTACCTAAAATATTTTTGCCAACTGCAGGCCTAAAATGAACTCTTATTGCGATCCAATTGCAGACCTAAGTCTTAAAGTGAAGTGTTTTATTAATTCGTACCATGACGTCGAAAAAGAAGAAGAGTGTTGTGGGTTCGATTCCACAAATCACGATCCCCAAAATAATAGGCTCAACTGCCATCCAATAAAAGTTGTTATTCAGTAGCCTAAACTGAATTGCTTTTGAGTATTTTTGTGTAGAAAAAAGTGTAGACGTGACTTAAGGGAAGATACGGATCCTTTTATTCCCTTCAAAGATGAAGAGTTTATAAAAAGATACCGGCTTCCTAAGCAGTTGGTCTTAGATCGGTGTGAGGAACTCGGGCCAATGTTTAGAAAACCTGTGAGATCTACGGACCTTTCTGTGGGAAAAAAAAAAGTTAAGACTGTTCTTTAGAATAAAGTTATATTGACAATGTAATTGTACGAGTATAAAGCAACTGTCAAACATGACGTCGTTGACTTCGGGTACGGATAGCAGAAGAATTCGAATGATCGATAGGTGTTATTTTTTCCTATTAAAATTACCCAAAGTATTAAGCGCGCGCATTAAGTGTTACGCTTTGTTTATTATTAGTTCAACTAATGTTCCAAGTGAGCGCTAATCTTTATAAGCATTTGGTATAAAGAATTAGAATGTTACACGAGAAAATATTTTTATAAAAATTAGTTATTTGCGTTATCTACAGATATTTAATTATTACGGGTCTGGGTGCTTCTATGTATTATAATAAAGTATATATCTATAAATCAAAAGTATATAAGTATGTTTATCCGTTGTCTAGTAACCATAGTACAAGGACAGCTTAGTTTGGGATTAGATGGCGCAGTGTCAATCATCACTATCAGAGCGTAGTGTTGTATACAAAAATGTGAATGATATACGAGTATAATGATATATAAATACGTCATTGGACAGGGTGTGGACTGCTGAAATTCAGGACTCTTAATATTTTTTCTCACTGTCCACTATGTATTGTTTTATTTTTCCCCATTTTCCACACAACAAAATACTAACAGTTTTAATAAGTAACGAAAATTAAACGAACTAAAACAAACTTAACAACATACGAATGAAAGCTAAGAGAAAAAAAATCAAACACGTGCTAGCGATAGCAACCTTAAGGACGGTACTAAGACGATCGCGGTACCAGCAGCGAGGTGCGGGCGGGGAGGCCGAATTCCACGCGTTGGACTAAAACGCTTGGTCGAGTAGTAACATAGGATATAACACACCCATCCCTAACTTGGCAGAGCCTGTGTTATGGTAATCAGACTGCTGATAAACATGCTTATATGTTTCTAAATACAAATTATAGATAAAGTACACCCAGACACGGAACAAATGACAGTGCTCATTACGTAATTATCCGTCCTGGGTGGGAAAAAAATTATTTTACATTTATGCTTTACTTTTTAATACAGAACATTTTACTTGTTTTATTGTCTAGGGAACCTGTAAAATTTTACTGATGTATTTTAATTAATAAAATAATAATGTCGCCGAATATTCAAAGGGTAACAAAATCATAACAGTGAACTAATGGAAAAGATACACACATGATATCACTGCGAGAGAAGGAAAACTCGCTTAAAACCCGTATGGTATGGGTTGAGAGCGAGTTTCATCCCATCTGGCTAGCATGGTACAATAGGCTAACTTCCCGCCATCACTTAAGGAGGCCCGTGTCCAGCAGTGCAACGTATGTGGGCCGATTTGATGACGAATAGGAATATTCTTTGACTACATAAAATCAGGTCAACATTCTATGCTGTGTGATATCAATGCAAAGTATTGATATTTATTCATAACAACAATGGCTTTACATACTTTGCACCATCTATGAGATTCTGCTAGAAAATTCTAGCGCATGTGAAGATTTATTAAAACCCGATGCCAAATCTTTGTGTTTGTTCAAAAACCCATAAATTTTCAAGTTGGCTATAGGTAACTCTTCGACGACAGGTCTCACTGCATTGACACATGAAAAAAAAAGACAATAATTTCCTGGCAAGGAACTCAAGTGGTTAGTGGGACGATTTAATTATATATTTTAGAGCAACTATAAATGCATAAATAGTTCTTAAATCTGTAATAAAATGGTTAAACAAATCCATATTCTTATCAACTGGGGTATTAAAACGGTAATTTCCATTAATATTTTTGCAGATCAGCCTTAGTTTTTCAATTCTTTACAAACCTTTACTTTCCGTAATTTGCTAAGCTTAAGTTTCGGAACGCAATTTAAGTTGTACGAGTGAAAGAGATGCAAGATACAAAATTTGTACGAATAAAACGCCATGGTAGGCCTGCTGTTAAGGCAAAAGTACCTAATTTACTAACACATAAATAATTCCAATAGACGTTTTTATGACTACTATTCTTAAAAAAGGTATTTAAATTGCTTCTTTAAAATTATTTAATACCACTATACTCGTGAATATAACATGTTTAATATATATTTATTGAAATAAAGTAACTCGCTGGCGGAGCAGTAGTGAAGCCTCTTTCAGTTTAGGAGGACTCTGAAAGCCTCGAAGTATTTCAAATATCACATACACTTCTCTGAAAGTGTAGCAGACTTTCAGCTACTACTACTCGTAAAAGGCAAATCTATGTATTTACATATCATTATCAAATAAATGAAACCAAACATTCAAAACTAAATTTTCAGCGAGACTCGACCACCAGGCGATGTCTAGCTTTTATATTATTTACTAGCTGACCCGCGCAACTTCCTCTGCGTCTCTCAATAGTAATAAATTTTCTCCGTTTTTGAAACATTCTTCATTGGTGCTCCGCTCCTATTGGTCTTAGCGTGATGTTATATAGCCTATAGCCTTCCTCGATAAATGGGCTATCTAACACTGAAATATTTTTTCAAATCGGACCAGTAGTTCCTGAGATTAGCGCGTTCAAACAAACAAACAAACTCTTCAGCTTTATAATATTAGTATAGATAAAATCAACAAAAGTTTTAAAAAATAAATCAAAACAATAAAGAACTATCTATTTCGTCACGAAAATACATCCACAACCACTTAAAGAGTGAGCCTTAGGAACAGTAGTCTCATATGATCTGAGCGCCTAACGTGAGTACCTATATTTTACAACAATACGAAAGTGGCCACCAAATCCAGAAACCTTAAGAGTTCCTTTGTAAAGGTTCTTATATATATATACCAACCCATTTGGCCAGCATGGTATAGTAGGCCAAAACCTCTTCTCTAAATCGAGGCCTATGTCTAGCACTGGACAATTACTAAAGGCTGTTGATAATGATGAACCAATGTTTGTTTAATTAACCAATAAATCAATTAATAAACCAATGTTAATATAATTTTGCGGCAGTCAATTTTATAATAATTTTGGAAGATTAGCCTATGGCAACTTCTACATACAGTAAAACAAAAACATACTACAGCGTCATCTAACGAAGATAGACGGATCTACGGAGTAATTACTAATCCTGTATCGCGATAAGAATAATTCTCATGCCGATTAACATATATACAAATGCCACTGGACAGCGGGCCGCCAAGTGTGATCACCTCGCCTGAATCCTTTGTGTCCCTTTGGACATGACACCCGTTCCCCCACATAGTGGATACCTGATTAATTTACTGGATTATTCCCATATTATAGCTATTGTATTATAGCTAATCCTTGTAACATGATCATTGAACATTTTCATAAAACATCTTAAAGATATGTAATGTTAATTGTGAAGGAAATATGGCTGTAACTATCTTAGTGTGACGTTGGATATTGTTATGTATGTATGTATTAACAAAAAATGCATTATTTCATCTCATGTAATAATAATAACTAATAAATATCACTGTTACTAGAATAAACCAATCGGCAATTAATCTCAAAGGTTTAGATAGTTTTCATTGGAGAGGAAAAGTTTTTCTGTAAGGAAAACTTACTGTAACTATTACTATAACATACCTCTTTATGCAGCAAGAGAAATAATCATTACAAAATCTACCTTGAACAATCTCAACAGCTGTAAGAGCCTTCTCATTTTCATGGACTTCCTCTCCAGCCTCTGGTGACATGGCCCTTCGCTTGAGTAGCTGTTCATCACGAGCTTGCTTTCGGAGAGCCACAGAAAGTTCAGCACGCTTACGACGGAGCTCCTAAGCAATGAAAAATTACTATTAAAAAAATCTCATTGCACTAACAGTCACTGGAAGAGATGGAGATGATTTTAATTTCCTGTCTTCCATTTCTCTATTTCAGCAATAGACACAGGTTTTCATTTCTATTCTGTATGGAATTTAATGAAATCTAGTGGTCATTATGTGGGCAATAACCTTCAATTTTTGCTGTTTTCATTAAATTCAATCCAGAATCGAAAAAACTTACCTGACACCCCAAGGACAAGAGATACACTGTGAATACATTACACAGAACTAGTAATAACTATTCAGTTATTTGTAAAATTTTATTTATTGGTTATACAATATTTTATTAATTTTACTTTCTTCTCAAGCAACCTATTGTTTCAGCAACGTAAGGTGTGTTGATTTAAAAAAAAAACAAATATATGAGAATTAATAATTAATTATTTAAATTTGAGAACCCTTAGTGATAAATCTGTGACCTATAATTTGACAAATGTAATGTAAATTGGTTAGACAGTTTTCATTATAGGTATATTTATGAGATTAAGTATAACAATCCACACAACACAACAACACAGAGTAAGTCCCTAATGGGAAAGACATTGATACTGAAAAATATTCTATGGGGAAACAGTTCTTGGATAATATAGATTAGGAAGCTTATAGTAGAGAAGTAATATCAGATGAAACCCATATTTTTATCACCACCATTCACAGACAAAGGACAGGCTAAGTTGGCCTTAGAGGCCCTTCAGTATGTTCTAAGTAATGTGATACATAGAGTTAAAGAAAATGTAGTGAAGAAAGTTTTATGTATGGAAGTCATCCGTGAGGTTAAGGATTAAGAATACAGAGTGTCACCACACCTATTCATCCCAAGGGTGTGGTAAGAGCCGGCTAAGGATACAAACTCTGCAGGATGGTGACATTTTACAACACATTACAATTACCATACTATATCAATAACCATGCCAGAGAACTGTGAGTACTGATACTGGTATAATGAAGGTAATTAATGTCTAACCGAGCACTCACTCACCACATGATAAGACACTTGTGGTGACATGATCAACAAATGTGGTATTATAAAGTTATGTGTTTTGTTGTTCCAAAAAAACAAACAAAACAAATTAAACTTTGTTTTTTGACAGGCCTGTTGGTAAATTGGTAAGTGACCCTGACTGATAAACCAGGATTTGATTCCACCCAGGACAATTAGTTTGGTAATAATTCAGTAATGAGCAGGATCATTTGTTCTGTCTCTAATTTATCTATAAATAAAATGTATGTATTAAGACATATTTAAGTGTATTCATCAACAGTGTGGTTACCAGCACAGGCTCTGCCGAAATTCGTATCAGACTGTCGTGAGTGAGAATGTGTGAAATTATTATATTTAAAAGGAGACTTACTAAGTCTCCCCATGAACATTAAAAAATAGTTTTTTATAAAGGCTCATAAAACACAAGTTGTTCTAAAAGTAGTTGTATATTGCCGGATATTTAACTTTCCTAGAATTCAACGCATTTTACGCTCGGTATTTTTGTGGTCTCTATAGGAATGTGGGTGTGATTAACACCAACCTCTACTTCATTAAGACTGACCAAACCCAAATAATTTAAACTGTTAAATTTGAATGAGATCAAGTAAATATTCTTCTTTATATAAATTGATTCAATAAAATAAAATGTGGAAAAAATTGTCAGCGAAAGGTGGTTTAATAAAGTATTTCACCTCTACCTTGGTTTACCTAAATTTAGCACTTTTGTTAATTATTCTGTCATATATAATTAAATGAAACAATTGACAATCATGCGCCCAATAATCTAATTGGATTGGGCATAAATTACAGTTCATTTACAAAAACTCACATTGTTTCCATGGCCAGCATTTTTGTATGAAGACAATCGAGACGCGTGTGTTCTTTCAGCCATGATGTATAATCAACGAACAGTAATGACTACTAATTTCTGTACAAATCAAATCAAGCTGGAGAAAAAAATAAATTTGTAACAAAGCCAACTCTCACAATTGAGACCAGCTGCTAAATTTCAAAATGATTCAAATATCAACGGACGGATGCAGTGTTGTCATCAATGTTGCCGTTTTAAACTCTACGTTTATTTCCTCAAGAAGTAAAGCTAGGGTTTCATATACGTTAAACAGTACATGGTCGGGCTGCGCCTACCTTTTTTTATATAAACTAATTTAAGTGGGTAGGTTTTAAACTAAACATAGTTATTTCATCATCATAATCAACAGCCTTTAATAGTCCACTGCTGGACATAAGCCTCTCCTTAGAAAGGAGGTTTTGGCCATAGTTATTTGTTCCTAAAATACTTGTTAGGAAAGAATATGACATACATGTCTTGATTATGAATAAAATTTAAGATAGATACATGTATACTACATTTATTATTATAGAACCATTCGATTTTGCACTGTATGAGAGCAAGAAAACCAAACACTCAACCAATCTTATCATACTTCATGATGGAACCTGAGGGCCTAGTGTGAGATTATTTCACATGTACTTGATAGTCATAGGGACATAGTGTCGGCGTTGCCATTAGCCCGTGCTGGATTCTTCACCCATCGCAACGACACCCGTCACCGTCGAGAGCGATTTGATGTGAAATAAACTCAGACTAGGGCCTCTGAAAAATAAATAAAAAAATGTTTTTTATTAGAATGATGTTCTAAAATGTCCCTTCACGGGATTTGAAATCGCCGAAAGAAAATTACAGTTTATCATTATTCAAAGTGAACTAGAAAATCAATATTGTATTAAGTCTGAGCATGAGCGCCATAGAAGACGGACTCTTTTGTTAGTTTTATTTATACTTACCTAGGTATTTAAACAAACGAACATCTAGTCCGCTTGATGTTAGTTAGTGCATGTTTCCTATACACAATTGCAATAACCACTAATCAGGTAGTTATTCATCGAGAAGGCTGCCCTGTTAACGAAGTAAAAGAAATATGAAAATGGTATGGTCTAATTTTTTCTACTGATTAATCAGTAGTACCGAATAACGCGGGTAGGTAGGTAGGCGTACGCTTTTGGAGCCTGAAATTTTGGATGAGTGTTTCCAAAAAGGCATTTTGGTAGTGTGTTAAGAAGCAATTTTTGGAAATGTATCTCCTAAAGAGTTATTTAAAAGGGGGTTGAAAGTTGGTATGAGCTATGAAAATTTTTCTCCTAAGAAGTTAAACAGACCCCCTGTTTAACTCCTTAGGAGACAAATTTTTCTTATATATTTTTTTACATTAGTAATCTAATTGACTGCCTCGGTGGTGCAGTGGTAGCGTATGCGACTGCTATTATGAGGTCTCGGGTTCGATTCCCGGGTATATGTACGTATGTAAATGTATGTATAATCTAAAAATATTTGTTCCGGTTTTGGGTGCGTTTTAAGTATAATATGTATGTATTTACAAAAAAAATATAAGTATTCTATCAGTCAGTCTGACTCCCATAATACAAGCTCTACTTAGTTTGAAACCAGATGGCGGTTTGTGTTAGGTGTCCGAAATATTATATTATCGTTATTATTATAATTTGACGCAGATGTTCAATGCTACGAGTATCTGTCGAATTGATGTTTAAACTGTGCTTTATTAATTTTAAGTTGATGAAGGGTTGAGAAAGGAAGGAAGGTTGAGAAAGGGATGTTCTGTTAAGCGCAGTTAAAGATAAAATTCCTTCCCTCTATCCTTTCCTTCACCAAGTCTAGAAATCTCCATCGAACCTCTTTTACAATAAGGATCTTATTCTTTCGCAAATGGGAGCTCAGCAGGGAGATCCACTTGGGCCACTCGTCTTTAGCCTTGCCATCCACAAAATCATTTCTAAGCTGGAGTCACCCCTAAACCTGTGGTATAATGGTACTATTGGCGGACAGCCTGAGGTGGTAGCGAAAGACATTCTGATTTTGATCCCACGCCTCAAGGAGCTAGGGTTGGAGGTGAATCCAGCAAAGTGCGAGTTTTTCCCCTGCAGTACTGAAGCTCGCACACACTTGACACACTTTGATATGTTCTTTCCTGGCCTCAGCGAGATCACACCAGGTACTTTCAGCCGACTGGGTTCTCCCATTTTCCTTGAGGCAGTTCCTGAGGCCATTGCTGCCCGTCAAATTCTTGTCCTTGCTATTCGGGAACGTTTAAAGCATCTTTCTCCTCATGTTGCGGTTCTGCCGCTTCGTATGTGTTTCGCGGTTCCTAAAATACTCCAACCTGGCTTTGTCCGGAGGCTGCCTCTTTGTTCGACGGTGCTTTAAGAGATACTGCTGAGTCGATCCTTAACGTCTCCCTTAATGAGCACCAGTGGATCCAGGCAGCTCTGCCAATAAGATACGGGGGTCTCGGATTACGGCGTGTGCTGGATGTTGGCTTGCCGGGGATGGGGTTGCGGACCTTGTCGCTGTCACACTTTCTCCAAATGGTGATAGGGCGATCATACCTTATGTGTCCGAGGCGGTATCCGCATGGTCGGCCGTCACTGCAGGTGAGCCATTTCCTGTGACCCTACACGTCCAGCGAGCATGGGATGACATTGGAGCTAAGGGACTCCTTAAACAAATGTTGGATACAGCTAGGGGACCGATCTGGCAAGACTGAGGGCCGTATCGCAGTCAGAATCAGGGGCATGGTTGTATGCACTTCCATCGCCTCACTTGGGCACCTTGCTAGACGGCGACTCATTGCGTGTGGCAGTGGCTCTGGGCTGCAATGTATGCGAACCACATAGATGCACCTGCGGTGCAATGGTGGGGGCCGATGGTCTTCACGCACTGAGTTGTCGTCGCTGCGCAGGTAGATTTTCGCGACACCATGCCCTAAATGATATAGTCCGAAGGGCTGTAATATCCGCCAATGTAGCCTGCGTGCTAGAGCCATCGGGTCTCAGCAGATCTGACGGGAAGCGGCCGGATGCCTTGACTTTGGTGCCATGGAAAAACGGCAAGTGCTTGGTATAGGACGCTACATGGAGGACGCCGCTAGTAGGAAGTGACCAAAACACGCCGCAATGGAGACGCATTATTATTTTGTGGCTCGTGTCTGGTGCAAAGGATGTCCGTTGCAATTCAGCGAGGCAATGCTGCCAGTATCTTGGGCACCTTTGCACCGGGAGCGACGCGGCGGGTTGTATGATCTGACTTGAATAAAAAATTATATTAATAATTGTAATTTAAATGTAAGTAATGTATTAAACAATAAAAATTAAATTTTAAGTATATGTTAACAAAAAAGTAAACAGTGAACAAGAAATTTCTAGAGAAAAGGCCATCCATAAAATCGATGTTTGTATCATCATCTATGCAAGACGTTGATGGTTTCCTGGCGTCCTATGATATATCTTTACTAAAAGCGAAGTCAGGGAAGTGCAGCTTATTTCATTGCGAAGGTCCTGAACAATGTGATGCACAAGCCATATGCTTGCTATATTATAAAGAGAATTTCTTTAATCAATAGCACCGTCCAGAGATGAATAAAATAGACAAGATGGGTCGTGACTCGGAAAACATTTTGGTAATTTTTTAAAGACCAAGATTCTCTCTCCATTTCGATGAGTCTACATTACTCGGCAATGGATCTCTGTTGTAAGGATACGTTTGATATATTATTCATGAAAAATGTGCCAAAAACTGCTTTTATTTAGATTATCATTTATTTAGAGACTGATAAAAGAGCTGAATCAATTTTTTAGGCAGTGGAACGTTTTTTTACTGACAAAGCTATTCCACGGAAGAACATTGTTTCTGTTGCGACCATGATGACCAACCATAGGTGGTGCACCATCAGGTGCACCATCTATGATTGCTCCCAGCCATCTATGGTTGGTCATCATGGTGGTTTTATAGCTCAGTTGATGAGACAACTCCCTGAGGTACCACAGCGTTAATCACAGGCAACATTTGGTAGAAAAAAATCTGGGTCCTAAATCCACCTAAGGCACCAGCCTTTACAAAATGTTATAAATGCTGTCAACACGATTCGAAGCAATTCTTTGAACTCTCGGTTATATGCTAAGCTATGTGAGGAAAACGACGAAGTCTTCACTCGGTTACTTTTGCACACTGAATCGTTGGCTATCGTATGAAAGCAAGAGCCTCTGCTCTTGCTTTCATTACCAGCTATTTTTTAATCTTTGTTGGAGTTTTCACAAGAAAACACTGAATTTGAAAGAAAATTTGTAAAACAGATATTTATTACTGGACTGATATCCTTAGCATGTTTAACAGGGTTAAATTGCAGCTAATATCAATAATATCAGCCTTTGTAGGTAAACTCATTCTTTATAAATAAAATTTAATGAAAAAAGAAAATTCATAGTTTCCGCATTTGTCAAATTTACCGGAAGTGCTTCAAAACGATGTTATTTAAGTTATTTTATCATAATGTTAAAATTATTACACAAGGATTTTACTAAGAAGTTTGAGGATCTTTAAAATTTACAAGTCCTTCAATGGATAACAAACTCGTACAATATCACAGGGATGGAAGAAGCTAATATGAAAATGTTATAAGAGTTGTTAACCAACAGCACATACGAGGAGCTTAAGCAAAAGTTCATCAAAGGATCTGTAGTTCTGGTTGAACACATTAAACCACAGTATTCTGCATTGTGGAATATTGTTAATAAATACCTTATCGCATTTTCATCATCATACCTAGTTCAGTGTGGTTACAAACATTTTGACAAAACAAAGAAACAATTTGAAAACCAACAAAAGCGGAGATTTAAGGCTGCAGCTCACCCGTATTGAACCAGATTTAGCTAGATTGTTAGAAAGTCACCAGGTTCATCCATCACACTGTTTTTTCTTTTTTTCTTTACTTTGCCATTTTAATGTTGTTTCAAAAAATAAGTACCTACTTTATTATTTTTATGTAATTTGTATTAATAACTGATATTTCCTGAATTTTATATACATTTATTTTGTTAAATTTTGATGAGAAAATGATGTCAAGTTTTGTTTTTGTTTTGTAAGTAATTTGTATCAAAGTGAAAAAAAACTACATAATTAGATAGAATTTTTAAAGTGATTCGGCTATGGGGGTCTGAGGTATCAGTTCATTTTGGAAAAAGGGTCTCCTGCCGAAAATAGTTTAGGCATCCCTTGTCTAGACTCTTGATTTTTCAGTTTTTTTTAATCCAATAAAATCAATCACTAAAAACATTTTAAATTCGATTGGGGAAAAAGTTATCGTATTCTGGATATTTTTTATAATTAAATATTTATTTTTAGCTTATTTATAATAAATCGTATCGCATTGAACCACCACCATAGAGAATGTGACAGCTATGCTATCTGTAGTATTGTTTGGTATAAATAAATAATTACATTTTAAACACAACAGAAGGTAAAGATCAAAATCTTATTTATTTAAATTTTGTGATAGTTTCAATTTTTATAATTGTATAAACAGGTGCGTATTTGATAATCATGTATGTTCGCCAGCAAATAATGACTACGAATTATAAGGTGTCGGCAAGTATCATCAAAAATATAAACAAAACTCAATCCACTTTGAAAATTATATTTCATTAAAGAATAAAATTATAATTGATTTTACCCACTAATGATGTAAATTATTTTCCTGTTGTAGTACTGTGTACTTCGAATTTGATATGAAATAATTGTGATTAAAAGTTAATAAATTATATGAAAACAAGTTTATTTGTCCATTGTCCACACCAAAAAACCTATGTCAATGATGAGACGAGCAATAGTATTGTGTCGATATGCAGTCACTCATGCCGATTTACGTATGTATTTGAACCTCATTGTGACCTCAGCTGCACAAATATGTCTGCTATTTTACAGTATTCTATACAGAACAAAGGACCATTTAAAACACAAGTGAAGTGGTTATATTGCCTATGTAATTTTCTATAAATTATTAGTTTATTGTGTATTGAACCTTGTAGATTCTGTAAGAGGGTATTTTGCTAAATGTTTAAGTTGGTAACTATCAGTATTACTTCGCACATCTATTTGTTACCTGTGTTAAAATGTAAGCTCTTTGCACATTTTCTATTGTTGTTAAAATTTGTATCTAGTTAATTAACATTTCTTATATAATTGCACTTACTTATTTGATGAAGCACCTAACTTAAAACAAGTGTGATACTAATATATTACTTATTATACATATTATAAATTTTCCGTCTGTGCAAATTTCTTAACATAGGACGGAACACTTAAACAAATTGCTATTAGTTAAAGGGGATATATTTTTTTAAGTTTCTCATACATTAACCCAAACGAAATCTATTATAACTATGAAATGGTTAATAATGATTTATATTTTAACAGAATTGCATGCAGTTTTTGTAAGATCATTTGCAACCAAAGGGGAGGATATAAAGAAAAAAATGGATCCAAAGCATGTTGTGCATTATGATGAAATTTTGAAAGTTATTCATCAACCAAGGAAGGTACTCATTGATGTCCGTAACCCAGATGAGGTAGACACTACTGGAATGATTCCAACAAGCATCAATATACCATGTAATAGATTTGAATATTTTTTTTTAGTTTTCGTAGCATTTGAGACCTCTTAACATTCATAATCATTCATTTTTCATTCATTCATTGTTGTTAAAACACGGAAGTAAAATGCTTTATACTCCTAAAAGTTATACCTCTTCCCCTACCTTGAATTAACATAAAAACGAGGTAATGATCTGAGCTAATAGCCACTTACAATGGCTTTGTGCGATTTATAATGTATTAGTTTTCATCTAAAAGATGTTCTGTGACTTCCCAGTGTAAAATCTTAAAAAGTGCAGGTGCTGATATGAATGTTACCACAAAATTAATTTAATATTTCAAGCATTATCATTTTAGAATAGAATAGAATTATTTATAGTTTATAAGGAACAATCTTGAATTTCTTATTCATGTCAACAACGGGATTTTACTTCCTAGCACCCCCGATAGTTCTTTTCGTATCCAGTCATAGAGCAGAACCCATGATTTTAAGCCCATGTTCTTATTGTCAGAGGGGCTCATGGCTAAGTGGTAACCGAGAAGGTTAACACATAGCAAAGTTAAGCAATCCTAGCCAGGTCAGTCTATAAATGGGTGACCATTATTTAACACACTGAGAACCCTCCGTGCCTTGGAGAGCACGTTATGGCGTCGGTCCCGGTTGCCAAACGCACATTTGTGGCAATCGTTATGGGTAGCTGGAGCCCTAAAAAGTCCAACAACAGTCTCTCTACAGAACTTCGATATTGTCTAGGAATTGGGTTGTGGAGGTCTGATGGCAGTCTCTCCTCGTTAAAAATCGAAGTTCAGCCGTATCGTAGTAGACTTAAAGCCGACCCTAACCTAGTTTGTAAAAAAGGCTCAGGATAGGGAAGAAGTCCTTAGTGAGATTTAAATTAGCTTTTTCTTTCTTGTTATTGCACCATGATGATGAAACAAAGTGTCACTCCTTTGAAACTCGTTTACCTCTGTGATTCTCCCCTGTGCTCTTCGATAATCGCAGAGGTACCACTGCTGCATCGTTTTGTAAAACAAACGCCAAAAATATTAGTGTGCCTAAAATCCTAATAGAAAAATTAACTTTTAGTACCATGAGGGCGGGTCAATAAGTCCGTGACTTTTGGAATAAAACACAGATTTTTTGATAAATAAATCATTTTATTTTTCAACGTAGTCTCCCTTGAGCTCTATACACTTTGTCCAACGCTTCTCCAATTTTTTTATCCCTTCCAAAAAATATGATTTGTCGAGGTCCTCAAAATAGGCGTTTGTTTGCGAGATGACTTCATCATTGGAGTCAAATCTTTTTCCACCAAGCCATTTATTTGGGAACAAGAAGTAGTCACTCGGAGCGGAGCAATTCATTCAATCAATTCAATTTTTCTTGGCCAAATGAGGTCGGTTTTTTTTCAAATAGTCATTGAATCGGTCCAATAAGTTGGCATAATATTCCCCATTGATTGTTCTTCCCTTTTGAAGGTAGTCAATGTGGATTATCCTGCGTGCATCCCAAAAGACAGTCGCCATAACTTCATTGGCTGACAAACCCACCTTGGCCTCCTTTGGCGCCGATTCACCCTTAGAAACCCACTGTTTTGACTGTTGTTTGGTCTCTGGTGTGTTGTGATGGATCCATGTTTCGTCCACGGTTACAAAACGGCTCAAAAACTCCTCCATATTGCGATTAAACAACGCCAAACCTTCCTGTGAAGTTGTTACACGATTACGTTTGTGGTCGACTGTGAGCAATCGCGGCACCCATCTTGCGGAAAGCTTTCTCATGCCCAAGTGATCATTCAAAATTGAAACCACTGAGCCATGCGAGATCCCTACGGCTTCCACAATCTCTTGCACTTTCAATCTTCGGTCGGCCAACACCATATCGTGAATTTTTTCGATTGTTTCGGGTGAAGAGACCTCAACTGGGCATCCAGGACGTTCGGCATCTTCAGTGCTTGTACGGCCACAACGAAATTCAGTAAACCACTTTTTTACCATTGAAATCGATGGTGCAGAGTCCCCATAGTATTTATCAAGCTTAGCCTTGGTCTCGGTAATGGTTTTTTTTCGCAAAAAATAATGCTTAATAAGCACACGAAATTCACTTTTTTCCTGGGTTTTTCAAATTACTGGGTAGTCTGATAAAGATAGCTATCAAACACAAACTAACTGATGCACTAACAGACTAAAGTTCAAATTTTGACAGGAGTCAACTGACAGATGCCTGTTGACAGGAGTAGTGTTGCTTTTTCAGTAAAGAGGTCAGAAATTCAAAAAGTCACGGACTTATTGACCCGCCCTCGTATATAAAATGCTTCTTTTCAGTGCCTCACGTAAAAGATGCCTTAGTTTCGATGTCTAATGAAGATTTCCGCAAGACGTACAAACGTGACAAACCCTCAGAGGATGATGAAATCATCTTCTATTGTAGATCAGGAAAGCGATCTCAGGAGGCTTTAGACCAGGCTCTGAAATTAGGATACAGCAAGTATGTGTGTAATATAACAGTTTACTAATAAGGAAGGTGTAGGATGGTAGTAAAACGGGCACGCCGTCATCGCGGCGGTAAGACCCGTTATGGAGGATTGGCTCGAGAGGCATCACGGGACCCTCTCATACCGACTGACGCATGTGATCATTGGGAAAGGATGTTTCAGGGATCACCTGTGTCTGATCCGCAAGGAGCCAACGCCTGAGTGCCACCACTGCGGTGGCCAGACCATGGACACGGCTCTCCACACGCTGGCAGAGTGCCCGGCGTGGGTTGAGCAGAGGCGAGACCTCGTGTCAGCCATCGGAGTGGGAGTTCTCTCGCTCCATAGCCTGATTGCGGCTATCGTGCGGAGCGAAGAAGACGGCGGAACGGGACCGGGAGAGGTTTAGAAACTCTCCCGGCCCCCCAGGCCCGGGAACGGGCCAGGTACCGCAGGCGCCGGAGGTCGCAGAGGACGCAGGCCTGGGGGTGACAGGTGAGGCCATCTGTCACCCTAGCAGAAGCAGGCCGGGGTGGCGGCGAGCGCGTTGCGAAGCGCGCTCGCTTCCACGGGGGGATCGTCTACTCGTCTGTAGATGGCCCGAGGTATGTCGGGGCACCAGGGACTTTCTTTCTAGGGTATACCTGGTTCCCCGGCTATTAGTACCCGAGACGGCGTGCGGTTTTAGTCGGTTCGAGTCCGACATGCCTCCGATAGGTGGTATCCGAGGAAAAAAAAAGGATGGTAGTAAAAATGTATATTAAGTTAAACATTATTATACCTTACTATAAGTTAGGTAACTTAGCTAGATAAACAAATTTAATATAATTTCCGGGAACAGTCACTTGTATACAATGATTTTGGAAGACTAAAATTTTCAGTTTTCTATGTGTGTATAGCATTCCTTTTTTTCATTTGAAATATTAAAAGTGCTGGCATATTTGAAAATGTTAATTGTTTTTGCTGCCATTTTCAAAAAATTATCACATTATTAAAAAATAATAGGCATGTAGGTAGTATATTTTTGTAGGTAATTTATTTATTATTTTATTAGTTTTAAGGCAGTATGATAAGTTATTAGTCAATTAGTGATAACCTAACACATCGTCGATTTGATTAAAACATTATAATAATAAAATCTGAACTTGTTAAATAAGTATATTAATCTTTAATTTTTATGTATTATGCCTCTCTTTACTTATCGAAGTAAAGAGAGGCATTTATTAATAAATTGCCTTATAAAAAATATTATCGACCCTAATGCGCCTACATCATTATGAATTAGTCGGGGCGTTCAAAAAACATGTTTTTTTTTCACACAGGTTCGATTTTGGATAAAATTTAATGCAATCTGAAAATGTTTATTTATTGCAACTTTTTAAAATTCCATTTCAGCTCCAAAACTTATCTAGGAAGCTGGAACGAATGGTCTAGTAAACAGAAGTAATTAACTGTGCTGTAATCTTTGAGGGTATTGCAATTACAGCTATATATTACAAAGGTTGTATTATATGTATATTTGATATCAAATAATAAAAAAAATGTTTAAAAAGGTTTATTTATGGTAATTATTTGAAATTCTCCATAACACCGGGTATGGGCCACCACCCCGAGACTCGAGCTCGATTATTGTGCTTTGAGCACATATTTGGAGCTGTCACAACATGCTTGTACTGACTGATACTGATCTATCACATATTTTTTATAATACTTAAAAATCATAATATTCTACTACATTTACACAACGCCATCTAGTCCCAAACTAAGCAGAGCTTAGACCAAATCAAACATTAAAAGTTTATCATGCACACAAATCTTTGAATTGAGCGGGAATCGAACCCGCCACCTTTGGAATAGCAGTCCGTTACACAAACCACTACGCCATCCGGTCGTCAACTTAATGTCTCGCAAAAATAGAAATATATTCTGTACTCTTCGATCAATAATAGTACTAGATTCCCGATAAGCGTTTCAAAAACGGCCCGAAAAATAAGAGCACAAAAGTGTTTGTGCTCTTATTTCAAATTAGTATGGTCCAATCATAGCCAACAATAGGACTTCAAAATGCCGCAGTGCGCGTTCAAAAACTGTGTAAATAACCACCGTAACACCAAGGTTTTGGAAGGAATATATTTTTTTCGGCAAGTTAATATTAATAAGTGTTTTTTCATAACATAATAAGTATAAACAGAATTAAACTGTAAATATAATTCAATTAGCGAATGTTATAATTGTTTGGCCAATGTTTGCTACAACGCATCAATTATTGTATCAAACATCGACTGCTCTTGAACAGGGAATGCATGGAGTAGTGTGGTTATTTTGTAATATGTTATTTTTGTTTGTAGATTTGCTAGTGACTTATAGACTTTTAACCTATAGACTTTTGTAATAAAACCTTAAATATTCCCGCATTTAGAGAATCAGAATGCACAGTAGAATTTATTAAGATACTAAATGATCTTTTTGATATCCTAAATACTAGAAATCTTTAGGACTTTGGATTCAAACACCCTTTGAATAAGGGTAGTTCACAAAAAATATTGTCGTTCTTGTCCTAAATTAAAGACTACTTATTGTCATTATCAATTAATGTTACAAATAAAAATTCTTAACAGAACTTCAAAATTGGTTGGTTAATTTGATGTGGAATTTAGAGATATTTTATTAGTATATCTGTGCGGGTCCTGCTTTTGGTGTCAGGGCGGGTCGCTTAAAGCATTAAATGCCTACATTTTTTTGCATTAGCTTGTTGGTTTGGATGAGTTTTATTCGCGAATTTATTCACTGGCGCGTAGTTTTTAATTTAAGATATCTCCTAACATATTCATTTAAATTGTATGGTGTAAGGGGCTATTATAATGTGTATGAATTGCTTAAGATAACTAACGTATTTATTTAGATAAAGATTAATACTGTATCCGTCTAAATAGCTTTTGCAAATACTTTTGTAAATACACATACATATTACACAAAAACGTAACGTTAATAAAATAATAAGTAATGTAAAGATACTAACAAACATACATAGATGTCCGAAACATAACAAGTAAGCAACTAATATTTTACGTTCATATTATAAATTATTTTAGTGTTCAACGCGACTCCATACCTCCTGTAGTAAAACTAGAAGAAGCAAAAATAAAACAAAACAAAACGATGTAGCTCTCAAGGCAATAACGAGAAAAAGTACTTTATTTGTTGCACCATAAGGTTGATTTTACACTAAATGTTATTTAAGTTATGTCTTTTCATTTGAAAGTGATAGGAGTAATTTATCCTCGCTCGATAGCCTGATACTCGCTCGATAGCCTGATCTCGCTCGATAGCCTGATTGCGGCTATCGTGCGGAGCGAGAGTGCGTGGAACTCTGCCGTCTCCTTCTGCGAGCAAGTTATGCTCGCGAAGGAGACGGCGGAGCGGGACCGGGAGAGGTTTAGAACTCTCCCGGCCCGCCAGGCCCGGGCACGGGCCAGGCAGCGCAGGCGAGTCAGGCGCCGGAGGTCGCAGAACGACCTCCGTCCTCCATAAGCGCAGGCCTGGGGGTGACAGGTGAGGCCATCTGTCACCCTAGCAGAAGCAGGCCGAGGTGGCGGCGAGCGCGTTGTGAAGCGCGCTCGCTTCCAGGGAGCACAGGGAACATGGGGTTCCCACACGGGGCGGGGGTCGTCTACTCGTCTGTAGATGACCCGAGGTATGTCGGGGCACCAGGGCCCTTCCTTTCTAGGGTATACCTGGTTCCCCGGCAATTAGTACCCGGCGAAGGCGTGCGGTTTTAGTCGGTTCGAGTCCGACATGCCACCGACAGGTGGTATCCGAGGGGATTTCCGCACGGAAAAAAAAAAAAAAAAAAAAAAAAAAAAAAAAAAAGGAGTAATTTATTGCTTTGCTCGTTTTTTGCAAGGAATGATCGTAAGTATTAGATAATATTTTGAAGATTTGTGACTTTATTACTGTGTACGATAGTTGTAATTAGGTTGAACTTAAAACTATTTCAAAACTTTTCCATCCGTTTGTTGGTAAACAAATGTAGCTGCATAAGTATATATTCACGCGGACAGCATTTAGCTTTGACTTTGTACGTGACCCTTTATCTAGTTGCTATTGTTGATCGAAGTCTGTACTGTATTTAGGCATCTATTAGCTGGCAATTTCATTATGAACATCAATAATGTCGACATTGTGCTTGTACTATCAATAAAGGTCATGTGCAAACAGAAGGCCAATTCTCGTAATAAAAGTTCGGTCTCAATTCAGTTAGATCGAAAGTTGATCGGAACTGAATTGTGACCGAACTTTTATTACGAGAATTAGCCTTAATTTTGTCCCTGTCCAAGTGGCAGCTTCAATTACTGAGCTGACATACACAAGACACAAGCTTGCAGTTTTCGCGCTACCGCAGTGTCAGTACTCCAATGTAAAATTTACGTTGTCAGACTGAACAAGAGAAGGTTAATTACATTATATCCTCAAGAAAAGTAAGTGTCAGGCAGGCGGCTGGCTTTAAAATAAATCAGTCACAACTCTTTGCAATAATAAAAAAAAAACAGAAAAATGTTGGTAATGGGTCATGTGAAATACAAATACCATCTTGAAAAGCTTAAAGATTTAGTAAGATTTAGTAAAAGGTCGAGCTTGACCTCTTTTCGTTGCATGAAGAATTAACTTCACTTTGTATCATCTTTTTATAGTAAACTATAAATATTAAACTTTAACTTAATACTATTTCCGAGAATCACACCGATTCTCGAAAATGTAATTGCGAACAATGAACAATAGCATCCATTACGACTTATGACAGTACTGTTGTTCATTTATACAAACTGGGAACCCGGATACTACTGGTTAACTTGTTTACGCTTTTCGTACGTGAAGTATGTGCAGTTGCATTGAACATCCTTTTTTATAATAAAACTTGCAAAAATTGCCTGTTTTTAACATGAGCACCATGTAGATGGAGGTAGAGATTGCGGTGAAAGCGTGATCCTATGCTTTCATCGGTAATTTCTACCTGCTCTCGAGATTCAGGAGACTAGAGCAAATTCTATGTAGTAAGAATCTATCCCTATCTAATCTAATCCCAAGTTTCTTTTAGGCCTATACTCGTGTTCGTGACTGGTACTGTCGATTTGTACAGTGTCTGTCGTACTTTTAAAATAAAACATTGTCAATTTTTTATTCCATGTATTAATTCATGAAGTACAAAACTAGATAACATCACAAGCAATTTTAAATAACGATATCTACAAAAACAATACGTAATCTCAATAACATACGATAGGTACATTTTTATTGTATCTTTGTCGCCCAGTCCGTCCAACTGCCGAGATAATTCTTCGCACTGAAACAATTATAATGTTAATAAATATTTAACTGACGAAAAAGTGGAATAGTTTTCCAAGTTCTATATTTTTTTTATTATGTATAACCACATTGTACTTGTCGGATGTTTCCGACAAATTCTTTTCCCATTCTATAAGGTACAGTTTTTCTGTAGGGTTTCTTAGCCATAATTAGTGATCGGAATTCGGGTGCTATTTGATATCTTAATATGGATATGACGATTTTCCCGGGATTCCGGTAATTGATGCCGGTAATTATGGTAAGGTTTAAAAATATTTGATATTATGTAAAAAGTGTAGAAATCGCGTTCGGTTAAGGAATACGTTTATTCATTAGTATTAAGTGTTTAGATTTAAACAGTAGAGACTTACAAATGAATAGATAGGGTCATCCTTAAAAGTGCAACAGGAAATAATTAAAACATTCCACATAAGAAATTGATTTTATTTTATGAATAAAAGACCTCGATAGAATATCTTTATTTTGACAATAGATAAGTATTTCTAGCGAAATTTTGCATTTACATGCATAAATAAATAATCCAATAAGTCTCATTGATAAATATTTTCGTATGGGTTAGTAAGCTAAAAGCTCCTGAAAAAGTAAAAGGCCTCTGTCCACTCATCAAGTTTCTTATTAATTAATAAATACGTTAAAGGAGCTTTGCTGTACCTTATTGTATTCGTCAAGTTTCGTATTTAATTAATACCTTTTTTTTTTTTTTTTAACGTGTGGAAATCCCCTCGGACCGTCACCCCTCCGGGGTTTGCGGCGGGGTGGTGTGTCGGACTCGGACCGACTAAAACCACACGGTGTGCCACTCTGCGCCTGTAACAGGAGGGATCCGGGAACAGCTGTTGTTAAGACATCCGGACCCCTCCTAGCGCCAGCCCGCTCCTGGTGCGGGCTCCGTCTCAATGTTTTCCTCTCTTTATAGGCGACGTCCGGCACACGCGGACGCCGCCCCCTCGCGGCTGGCCAAACTAATGCGGGTAGAGGGGAAACCCACCCCGTCCACCCGCGGCCACACTCAGGGCGGCATGAGGCTGTGGTAGGCGGGCCTCCGCCGCCCGGTTCGCCGGCGGCGGATCGGGTCCGAGTGGAGGTCGTCCTCCCGGGCCCTCTCCGCCGCCTCCTTCCGCGAGATTACTACCTCGCAGAAGGTTGCGACCGCGGTAAAACAACTGTCGCTACCGGCCATGGAGCGTACTACGGCCGGTAGCGAGAGATCCACTCCGATGACTGCAGTGAGGGCCCGGCGCTGCGCCGCCCATGCGGGGCAGACCGCCAGCGTGTGCTGGGCCGAGTCCTCACTGCAGTCGCAGTGGTGGCAGGCGGGACTCAGTTCCCTCCTAGCGACCGTGTGCAGGTACTTTCCGAAGCAACCGTGCCCGGAAAGCACCTGCGTCAGCCGGAAGGAAAGGGTCCCGTGCTGCCGCCCTGCCCACTCGGCGATGACCGGCTGGAGAGCCTCCACGGCGGCGAAGCCAGCGCGTGGAGTCTCCAGCCGGAACGACCAACGAGCCATCGTGGCTCGGCGAGCGGCTTCGCGCCACTCGCGCACATCCTCGGGCGGAGGGCGAAATCCGCTCTCCGCCCGGTAGTCAGCCACTAATATAATAAATAATAAACTTCGGCGAGCACTTCCGCCTCCAAATCCCACGGGGGAGTTCCGGCCAACGCGCACGCCACCTCCGTCGAAACGGTGCGGTAACCGCGTATGGTTCTGACCGCCATTACCCTCTGAGGGCGCCAGAGGCGTACCCTATTCTGGGCGGTCAGAGCCGCCGCCCACACCGGTGCACCGTACAGTGCCATTGACCGGACAACCCCCGTGTACAGCCGTCTTGTCGCGACGCTGGGTCCACCCATATTGGGCAAAAGTCGCCCTAGGGCAGACGCAGCGCCGACCAGCTTTGGAGCAAGCTGTCGGAAGTGCTCGTCGAAGAGCCACCTCCCGTCGAGGATCAGGCCCAGATATTTCATCTGGGCCCGAACCGGTACGAGGACCGAGTTGACCACGATTGAGGCGCCAGGGGGTGGACCACGACGGGGCCCATGGAATAACAGGGCCTCCGTCTTATCTAGGGCCACCCGTAAGCCCAGCGCCTCAATGCGCCCGACCACCAGGGAGACTCCCCCTGTGGCCAGGCGCGCCGCCTCTTGGAAGTTTGCCCCCCGGGCTGTCACGAGGGTATCGTCTGCGTAACAGATTACACCCAGCCCGGGGGGGAAATCGGCGCGAAGGGCCCAGTCGTACCCTATGTTCCACAAGAGGGGTCCAAGAACAGACCCCTGTGGAACACCGCACGACATGGGCCGACACCTCAGATTACACTTCTCGGTCCTCGTACACGACGGTACGCTCCTCTAAATAGTCTGCCACTAGCCGCCTCAGGTACTTTGGCACCCCATGATAGTGGAGTGCTTCCCTGATGCAGCTGAATGGCAGACTATTGAATGCGTTGGCGATGTCCAATGACACCGCCAACAGCACGCCGCCACAGCTCACGGCCTCTTCGGTCACGGCCCTCAGGCGCAACACGGCGTCGACTGTCGAACGCCCCGCCCGAAAACCAAATTGGGCGTCCGACAGATCGGGGCCCACCTCGCAGAGGTGCCGGACGATGCGGGCAGAAAGAACCCTCTCAAACAATTTGCCCGCCTCGTCCAGCAGCACGATGGGCCTATAGGCCGCGACCGAATCGGCTGGCCGTCCCGGCTTCCTCAATAGGACCAGCTTCCCGCTTTTCCAGCACTCAGGGAAGCGTCCCGACGCCAAGCTAGCGGCGAACACCTCCCCGAGGCGGTCTGCCATGTGGTTGAGGGCCAGGGCCAGCACTCGGGCCGGTACCCCGTCTGGCCCAGGGGCGGTGTTCTTGGAACGGATCCGTAGAACAGCCGCCCCTACCTCCGAATCCCGGACGGGCGGAACATTGTCCTCCCCGTGCTCCCCGTCGTCTCCGGCCAGGGAGGCCATCGACGGGGGAGTGTGTTCCGCTCGTTGTGGGAAAAGGCTTATTTAATTAATACCTACATTGACCTCCGTAAAATGGCTGTGCCGCAATTTTAAGTAATTTCAGATATCCTAAAGTTTTTCATCGGAAGTCTACCTACCATACAATACTTTGTCAAAAGTCAAACCCGATTTCGTACCAAAATAAATTAGTTCTAGGCCAAAAAGGTTTATCCTACATGTGCATGTCAAGATTTACTAGTGTAGCTTAGAAAATCTAATCAATGAACTGGTTTGGCTTAAACAAACTAGTTTGGCCTGAATTGGGTTTGCCTGGCAACATTATTATTAGAATCTTTATTTTTGGTTTTTACAAAATTATTTGCATGGACCTGTTATACTACTCGTAGTTTAAAAAAAAACCTTAAGTACCTAATACCTTAATAAGTAAACGATTCATTTATTTATTTATTAAAAAATCCTGACATATATTTTTATTGCATGGAGTTAAAATACATATTAAAAAAAAAGCCGTGTGGTGTCGTGGGACACCCGATAGGAACGAAGTTGTTTAAAGTTAAAACTGATTTGACACGATATTAATTACAACGCCATCTATGAAAGCGGCTATTACCTACATGTTATTATGTAAATCTCCTTGCGAAATGATTTCCTATCTATTCGATAGATGGCGCTGAATGTCTGACAAGATGACACGAAAAAATATTATTACTAATCATAGTTCATACTTTCATCAAATTCATGGCTTACGTTGTATGTTATAATAAGATTTACTTTAATTTAAAAAAAATTTTGACTGAAATCTGGGTAATAGTGTACATAGTATAAACTTCTTTTGATCATTAAAGTGTTTTGAAATATATTTATTTAGTTTTATTTCCTAAATTCAAAATTTCAAGAAAAAAATATAATGTTGACATTTGGGTAGGCCGTGGAAACACTCAAAACCACCAGAAAGATAATAAAATATGAATTAACATTACAAGCCTACAGTATACTCACATTTACATACTTACACAAAAAAAACTATACAATTCAAATTCAAAGAAAAATAAAATACGAAAACAAAATACGAGATACACCAAAAAAAAAACCTGCGGTAAAAAATTAAATAAAGAGCAAAAAGCCAACATCACGTGGTATTCCCAGGCGGTCACCCATCCAAGTACTAACCACGCCCGATGTTGCTTAACTTCGGTGATCGGACGAGAACCGGTGTATTCAACATGGTATAGACGTTGGCGAACGTTAAATCAAATTTAATGTATGGTATCCACAGTTAGACGTCAATTTATATTAATAAAAAAGTGTCGCGTCCCAAATTTTTGTATGAATTTTTTCCGTCTAGCTCCCTTTCACAACGCGCGATAAGGAACTTCGTTCCAAAAAAACTTGTATAGAAGCACAAGAATTATCATTCAGAATTCTAATTCCCGGAAATTTTTGATAGTAATAGCACCCAAGATTCCGATCTATGGTCATCACATTTGTCCTTGCCACTTAATTTGATCCTAAGATAATTTTCTTTTACACAGTTAGATATCCTTTGTTTCTAGGTTTTTTTATTAATAAACAATCCTAAAAATCATCATCATTATCATGATGACAAGCAATTGAGGGAAGTAAACTATAACAACAACTGGGAGACTATTTGAAGATGGAAGTAAACAAGGCACATCAAAGACAAGTTTGTAATACAAATGACATGATAGACCATAATGTTAAATATGGAAAAATTATACCTACCATTATGTGGTGTAGTGGTAGGTATAATAAATAGGGCAATGTTTTAAAAAAATTCAAGAAAACAGCAGGTCAAATAAATAAATTAATTAATTTGACATATATTTGACTGGTCTGTTATTAGGAGCTGGATGCAAGAAGCTGAAAATCAATCGTAAGTAGGCATTCAATGGGAGAGGCCTATGTTCACCAGTGGACTGCGATAGGCTGATGATGATGTGGGTCTAGTGGGTAGTAACCTAGAGAGAGATTTTTACTGATTATTATTAAAGTAAGTAGGTACTTACTTTTTAAATCCTAGACCCAAAGCATTTTGCTGTGCTTTTCCAGATCTCTTGCCAATCATGCAGTAGAAAATCATTTCAGTTTCTTCTTTAGGCTTAGGTCTCTGATATATTCGTAAAAACTCCTTTTCTGATAAATTACCTAGCACTGTGGCCACATTGCCCACTGAAACAATATTAAAGTTATAAAACATTTCAAAGTTTCGGTTAGAATTTATAAATGTCTTAAACAATTAAATTAGAATCTAAATTTCTTTTAAGGTGTGAGATCTTTTGACTCATTGTGTACGTTAGCTTTCTGCATTTACATTTTATTTTGTTTTTTTATATTTACACAAGATGATTTTGAGGAAATTGCCCAAAAGGATTTAGAATTAACAGTTAGTAATAAATGTAGCCATGAAAAAATAAATATATTTTTAATTATGCTTGCAAATAATGGTTCCTCACAAATGGTTCAATGTAGTTGTATTTAATATCCATTATTTTTTCTTAATAAATAAATTCACAAAATTCCAAAATACCATGTATTCACGAACTTTAAAAAACTATAGATTCAGAATCATGTCACTAGTAGTTTATTTTGAAGTAAATGAATTTCAATATTGGACTTAACTTTATACCTGTAAAGACTATTGATTCAGATTTTTCAGATTCTAGCCAATATTATAGTTGGTACCTTTGTTACTTATCTGTTTTGACTTCCTTAAGAATTTAATAGGATTTTATACTTACATGGTATATTGATGCTATTCGGTATTTTGCCATGTTCCTTCACCTCTTCTGGCTCTCTCACATCAATAATTAATGTTTCATTATTTGCTGTTGCTTTCTTCACGTAATCAAAATCTACTGTTAACTCTTTAGCCTGTGATACCGGATGTTGTTGGGAGAGCATCCGCCGCTCCTTAACATTTCGGAAATGCGAAGAAGTAACATCTTGAAGGAAAATTATAGTCATATCAATATATATTGTCTCAAGGGTTAAGAGAGATTTAAAGATACTTATGCTTACTGTTGTTAACATGATTTCGCATATAATTTTGTGTTGCATGTTCTACCGATCTTACGACTCTGTAAGTTGACGGTACAATAATTCGAATGAAAATTCGTGTAGACATTTTAAAAACTTTCTGATTTTACAAATAATTTCGTTATACTAATCTCTAACACTGTCTCTGAGCTATCCACAATTTTACAATTTTTTTTCAGATTTAAATCATTACTATCAAGACTGTCTTTCAAGACAGGTGAAAATACAATATTCCAATTTAAATAGAAAAAAAGAATACTTTTCAAAGAACTGTCATTATTAGAAAGAATTAAAGACATAAAGACATTGGCACTAGAATGGTGATCTGAAATCGCTTAATCGAAAAATCGATTTCTCAACCAAAAAAGAAAAACGTTTTTTTTTAATCGAAATGTCTGATCGAATCTGTGAATCAATGCTTCAACCTAAAAAATCGTCATTCAAATTCTTTCTGTTTTGAAAAAAAGCCAAAAATTTCTTCACAGCTAGCTGAATATACTCAACATAAATAATTGTTTAAATGTTATACTGTATATTATTGATTCATTAATCTAATAATTCTAAATTGCTTGTATTTAATAATTTATTCTTCTCTATACTCTCTTTAATTTGCCATCCCTTCAAAAGGCTACTAAGTTGAGAAAAATAAAATTATTATGCATTTATGTAAATTTGGTTGATAAATAAATATTGATTTGAATTAAGTAGAGGAGCCCGATTTCAAATGAAATCTAGCCTTACATGACTCTATAAGAGGTAATCACAACCAGTTAATACTAAGTGCCCCGCTAGTGTCGCTTTTGCAGCGACTCTATTCTCATGCTACTCGACACACGATTAAATAATATATAATAGCAATGACGTATTTGATTATCGGGGGATCATATGTGCCTTGTGAGCGCCTTTTCTCGATTGCGCCAAAATCGAAAGTGATGAGTGGAACCACTGGGATCCCAGTAGACTTGACAGACTATTGTTTCTCAAAAGCTTTGATATCAAGCATTGGGAATTATAAGCTAAATTATATATAATTTATTTTCTAAACTTTTTAATGTAACAAGTAAAGGATGGTAGAACAATGGCAGGCATGTATGGGACTTTTGTAAGGCTTTTTTTTACATAACGTTCACCATTAATCTAATCGATTTGATCAAAAATTATTAGTACCTTTCCTTAAATTAACTGATTTAAAATAATTTATTCCTTTATTACATCGTCTAATCTGTATAGTCACCCTTATTAGAAAAAAAAAACAGTGGCCCTCCGTTAGTGCCGACAGAAGTGAAAACTTGATAATTTTTATTTTTTTTATTGTAACAGGTTTTTTCATTCGTTTAGTTATTGCAGGAGTACTAAGTTTTTGAGAATAATTTATATACTTTTATCACTGTTCTTCTGAGTATGATAACTACGTAAAAATAGTTAAGATGTTTCACTTTATAAACAGTTTACATCTTATAACCATCCATCGTACTCGTATATTAGTAGGTATACAGGATCTGCCCTTGTTCTGTAGAAAACAAATGTTTACTCTAAGCCTACCTGATGCTTTGGTATGCTAATAAAAACAATTTTAATTAATGACTTCCCTGAACTTAAGAATGCCCTGATATTATTGACTAGCTGACTCTCAAAAGAAATAAATTTATTCCGTTTTTGCGACGTTTTTATTGATTCTTGGCTCCTATTGGTCTTTGCGTGGTCCAACATTAAAATAAATTTCAATTCGAACCAGAAATTCCTGAGCTTAGCACGTTCAATCAAAAAAATAAACAAACAATGAAACTCTTCAGCTTTATAAATAAGTATAGATAAGAGATCGGTTATTATGGTACCTTTATTTTCATTAATGGATTAGTGGTATGGTTTAGCATTTTTTCTAACAAAAATACTAAAATATCATTAATTAAAACCTGTCCACGAAATCCTAAATAGTCACGACAGTAAAAATGTGTTTTAAATTCGTTTTTTGATTAATAGCTATCAAAATTTTTAAGTTACCGTAAAGCGTGATAACAGATTTTGATTTCGTGTGAGCGAAAAGTATTGTTCCGCAATAATTATGGCATTTCTTCTCAACTGTAAGTATTTTTTATTGTATTTATAATAATATTTCGGACATCTGACATACAACGCCATCTATCTTCAAACTAAGCAGAGCTTGTACTATGAAAGCTAGATTGACTGATAGAATAATTATATTCTTTTTTTTGTAAGCACACATCAATTATACATAGAAAACACCGAAACTCCGAAACAAATATTTGCAACTCATACACACATTCGGTCCCACTCGGAAATATACGCTATGCACCACCGAGGCAGTCAAAGTGTATGCTTCATGCAAATAATTGTTTAATTGTTTGTATGAATTTTTATCAACAATAAATTATATATTGTTCAACAATTTCATCAAAACGATCAAACATCAAGGTATTGTTGCAGAAGATAGTGAACGTCGCGTCCGTATTGTCACGTGACACATATGCGGTATAATAATCGTGATGTTTTGGAAATTTAGAATTGTTCACGTCGTGCTTTACCCGACTACACAAAAACAAATAAAAATGTGTGTTTTAAACTGTAGAATTACATAATTTTGCTTGTTTATGGTACAATCATGACCTTTATGTCTGCACCCATCAATTCTCGAGTGAGATGAGTTATTGTAGTTTACACAGTGACAGTGTGCTGTTTAGATTTATGTTCCACGTAGGTGGACATGACGTCCTCACCACACGCTGCAAACTTGTGTTGTATTTTTTATGTTAGAGGGGGTAGACGAGCGGATGGGTCACAAGATTGAAAGTGACCATCGCCGCCCATGAACGTCTGCAACTCAGGAGGCACAAACGCGTTGCCGGCCTTTTAGGAAGGAGTACGCTCTTTTCTTGAAGGTTTGAAGGTCGAATCAGTCCGGAAATACCGCAGACGATAACCCGTTTTCACAGATTGGTTGTGCGGGGCAAAAAGTGTCCAGAAAAGCGCACAGTAGTTGAGTGCCAACTATCCAGGTGATGAGGACGAAAAGTTGCGGCTGGTATTAGTCCGAACAATTCCTCGGAGCACTCTCTATGATATATGCTATAGAGAATGCCGAGTGAAGCTACATCTCTACATAACGCCAAGGGATGAGATGAGAGATGAGAACAGTATTCCATATGCGGCCAGACTTGCGTCATATAGTGCTGAAGGCGGTGGGCCGGAGTGAAATACTGCCTCAATCTGTTCAGTACACCGAGCTTCTTTGAGGCCAATTTGATCTTACACTCTAAGTGACCCCGAAACTGGACTTCGCTTGATATGTCGATGCCTAGTAAGATATAAACTCAAAGAAGGAAACAACTAGAGTGACTAAAGAAAAACTTTAATTAATAAACTAAGCTTTACATTTCCATTAAGTTACGATATTTTCCTACACAGTAACTGTCCTACTTTTAGAACCAAATAATTGTTGATTTTTTTAATAATATATATTTTTAATAATTGTTGAGTTTAAATGGTAATAATTTACCAAACTTGTAGTCATAATGAGCTCTATATTTTTATTTTATTTTAAATACTTTATGCACAAGTGTGGGTTGTACAATGGCACATACATACATACATAAAGATACATATTGACTATATATAAAACTTTGAGGTTGTAATGAATCTGGTTGGGTGTCCAGAATGCGAGCTCGAACTTTCATCTTAAATGAGAGGCGGCTCTGTAGATTCAGGTTTAATTATAAAAGGGAGAAAATATATATTAGTTAAAGACTAATGAACTGTAGAAAAGTAATGATACTAGATTGCCGAAATAGTGACGATTTGGCAAAACTTATGATTGTTCTATGCATGTGGGTATGTAATTAATAAAAAATATTTTTTTGTTGTTTAACCTATATAAAATATATATAATATAAAAAAATAAAGACATGCCCTTAAATCTCATGGTTTCATTACAAAATGCCTTTAAAAATAGTGATGACGCGGCATATATAAAATTCCACCTTCGTCATGTGGACAGCTTTTGAAAATATTGATAAATAAATAAATAAGATTGGGTCTCTTGTTCACTCTATGCTTATATCTTTATGAATGAACATGTGATGAACGTTGAATTAACTAAATAGGTATTAAATTCGACTGGATAGTGGAATATCGAGATCCAATAAACGAATCAATGGTTCATCAACTAATGGATGAATGGAATTAAATAAGCGTTATCAACGATTTTGTAGACTTATACTGAGACTTCAATGTCTACCAGTAATCATTATCATAGATTTGTTCATTAGTTCATTAAAAAAAAGTTTGTTATTAGATTGAAATCATAACGGGCTCGTAAAACGATGCGAGACATATATATTCATAATTCTCAATATTATATATGTTTTATTACCTAACTTTTTCAATTTCCCTTCATATAGCATAATTGAATAAATTAACACAAACCCAGTAGAATAATTTAAGTAGTCAACGTATTTAATCAACTCGTTGATAAACCTAAATTATTTGTATACAAAAATTGTAAAGGTTGAATTCAGAGCAAGAGCATATGAAAACCGTTGAAAAACTCATACTATCATTCAAGTAAAGGTGAAATGTGACTCAATAAAAGGTTCGTTAATAGAAGAACAGTCGTCGGCTGTCAATAAAACTCTTACAACAAATCTATTAATTGCTGGTCAAGCCAAACGTAAAATAAGAGAAAATAAAAAAAATGCATGTTTACATTTATCACCAGACCAGCTCTAAGATGTCACACTATAATATTGAATAAGCGAAAACCAGCTTGCACCAGTGATGGTATTAGTTCAATACTCTCTCATGTTGTGTGTTGTATGTTATTGCATGAATTTGGTTGGTTATTTCTCATCGTGATGATGGGTGTTGGATGAATACCCATCAACACGATGACAACAACACTTCCAATAGGTAAAAGTTGAAAGGTGAAGAATTTCAACGCCAACATTGTCAGAGGAGATAAGAATTACGTGACAGACCGATAGGCAACTTCTAGGTGAATATTGGTGGGTAAACTGTTCTGTATTAAATAATCATTATTTAGTTAATTAATAATAACTTCACACATCTCCGTCTGATCTCAAATTAGGTAGAGCCTGTACTATGGTAACCAGACTACTAAGGTTATAAAACTGCTGATAAAGTTCTATATTTCTAAATACATGGATATTAAAGATAAATAAGACACAGAACAAACATTAATCCTGATTGGTAATCAAACCCACGACTACTGACTTAGCAGTCAGGATCACTGATCACTAGGCCAACATTATATACTGTATACTACTATTTCTGTGACTGAACGGGAAACGAACTTGCGACAGCTGCCGAAGCGAAAGTCGGGTAAATCCCAGTCGCATACACTTAATGGGTTTAAGTGGCGCATCACATACCCTAAAAAAAAAACAACATTTGAAAATAGCATTGCCGAGAGCCGAGTACAAGTTGTGTGCTATTTATTTTTATTCTGTCTGATTTCACTTGGCAACATTATTTTTGACAGCTGATCCAATCTATCAATCAAAGAGCTTTTAGCCTTATGCGAAAATATTTTTAATTTTTGTATATATTAATTTTGAATCCTTTTAAGTTGTAAGTGATATCGTTTTTTTCTTTTATGTACTGAATTCTGATTCAGAATTTCTTATTAAAAAATGATTTACAAACATATCAAACATACAATCTCATAGCAGTATATTACCTTGGGATTTTTATTGTAATCTATTTCTATGCAGGGCAGCAGTGTCAATAAACAAGAGTAACTTACTGTTCCAGATGCTGTACGCATAATCCATAGGAGTTTAACATAATACTTGTTAAGTGATGTGAAGTGAAATCGTGTTGAAGGCTTTAGGTGATTACATTAGCGAACATGGGTTCCATGCGACCGACAGGACGGTTTCTATCATTTACCAACAACATACAGAGAACACAAAAGCAATCGGGTAAATGTGCTTTAATTTTGAAAATAATTAAGTGACATTCCTGGGCTATGAATCATAGGCATCCTTGTTTGTTTTTATAAATGTAATTACAGACTATACTAAGTTTTATTACTTTTATGAGTATGTGATTGTTTTGATAACATAGGTTTAAATTTTATGAATATTTGAGTATAATAATTTGAATTTATACTAAAGTCACACATGTATATTATTTATTAAAGTGACACACAACATATAGAAACATATAAATAAATAGAATGTTACAAACTAAATTAAGAATATAGAATTGCAGTTAAAGATAAAAACTCCTTTTCAAATACTAAGTTAGATAATTTAATAAATATGTATGTTGTTGTTGAAATACAGACAAAATGAGAAAAGCTCATGCATATGTTCAAATAAATATAAATTTGTTACTTTATTTTCCATATTCACATTACTATTAGTTTGAAACAATCTATACAATTATAAAATAAATATTACACTCCATATTTTAACTTGGTGAAAGTGTTGACTGTTAACATTTCAAGAGAGCAGTGATACACTTTTATTTGAATTAATTATTTAATTATTTAAACATGTAGGATTACTATAAAAGGCTGTTTAAATCGTTTTTTTAGTTGAATCCCTTAAATCTTTCATTGATTTGCCAATAAACGGTACTTATTTTTTTTTGTTATAGTATACATTCTATAAATAGAAAATACTTTGTATTAAAAACGTTTGCAGTCTTGTGTTGTATATGTATGAGTAAAATTCATTTGCATAAAAATTCATTAGACAATTAATAATAAATCAAAAGTTGTAATAAATTTTATATCTTGTTTAGAAAAAAAGAGTTCCTCAGATTAGGTCTGGCTAGGTAAACTAAAAAAACAAAACAGTTAGAAAACATGTTTGGCAGGTAGGGCAAAATTTAAGATTTGGTGTGACCTTAATACCTCACATCTACTCAGGAAAAATGTGATTGTGAAAGAATTGTTTGTCTAACAAACAATGTGTTGTTATTACCAAGATCAACACAAACAACAAATGTACCAAATAACAAACAAGTTTCTAAAAGCTATCCTAGTTTTAAAAGTTTGTACCCACAAATAGCTATCTCTTTGATTGTAGTGCCCAGTGGTTTTCCACAAAGCTTATCAGGCAGTGAGACAGATGTATCTACGTCCAATGAGAACTTGTCAAGAGAGGAACGTTATGTTGTACGACATACAGCCCGTGTAGAGCCACAGGGTCAAGAAAACCATAGTCAGTCTACAAATAATAATAGGAGCTCTCTGAAGGTAATTCAATAACATTTTCATTATTGTTCCACCTTAAATTTTTTTACATTACATTATTTAGAAACTAGGTTTATAGCATTGTGGTGTGTCATACTTGAAGTTCTAGAAAATAAATTTTGAACTTCTGGCAGACTTGACCACCACTTAAAGACCCGTGGAGTATGGAACCCTAATTAGGATGACAGGTAACTCAGTATATTGTTCTCGGGGGCTGCCCTTTATGTTCTCTAGCTCATTGAGGCCAGTGATTGTTTTGCTCTCTCCCTATCTTAGTATATCTACAGAAAATTACGAGAGTTACTAGTTCTGTCCAATTTCTTTAATATAGACGATTTCCTCGCAGAACAAGAAAACATTCTCGCACTTATATCGAATAAGCATATTCAGGGCAATATTCGTCTTTCAATTTACGTCAAATCGATGGTGCAGAGTAATGTTCGGCAAATAGCCATAAATTATTTACCTAAGAAACGTCACTCTCATTCACATTATCTATTACTAATTTTTTTTTATTATTTACCCTAACAGGAGAGTGTAACAGGCAGTAATCGAAACTCTCTAAAAGACTCGGTGGGTGGTGGCAATAGTAACCGAAGTTCATTGGATGTCTCTTCGTCATCATATAACACTCTTATTATACACAACCAGGATGATTCTTGGCCTCCAAGACCTACGCCAATTCGGTATGACGTCATCTAATATTGCAAATATTCAATTAATTTGTAAATGAAGAATGTTAAAAAGAGCTTCACATCCATCCATTTGGTATAGATTGTCTGATTTCTAGTTCAACCGTTTGGTTTGAATTCAGTTTCAGAATTAGCACCAGTATGGTGCTAATTCTTGATAACTAATTAATTTTACTTTTTTGTTATAAAAACTATTTTAAGCAATTTTAAAGAACTTTAAAAGTAAGACAAGAAAAGAATTGACCTTAGAAATATTTCAACTTAACAGAGAACACGAACGAACAAGTAGTGAGGTGAAACACCCAACTACACAATCTTCACCATACCATACATTAAAAAAGTCTGAAGGTGTGAAGAAACCTAGTGGGATACCTGTACCTAAACTTCACAAGGACCAAATTGTTACGACCGCAGTGAACTACATTGATATTGGAGGCCAAAGGATTTATACTAGCCCACCTGATCATGGTGTCCAGGTAAGAATCCTGACTTAAATAATGAATTAGAATATAATTTTATTTATTACACATCACGCCTTAGCTACGATCAAGGAATATTGTATGCAGGTGTGAGAAGTGTGTAAGAAGTACTGTTTCCGTTACAACAACTATAATGTGATCGAAGCGTTAGCAAAGGCCGCAGTAGTGCGTATGAATTTATTTTACCATTAATGTATACTCTGTCTATCTCTACATTAAATAATGTATAATATTGTAGAATGCAAGCAAATATTTATTTCGTTTGCTATCACATTATGTAAGTACATAATACTAAATGTTTTACTTAAGGTAGATTTTGATAGGTTTGATTTTGCGTTAGTTCTTTTGCTTTCCTAATTCAGTGATGATTTACTTGGACGGTAAAATTGACTTTGTCACTGAACAGGAAATAACTGAAATCCCCGACGACTTTCTAAACCAGTCGTCTGTGTTAAAACACTTGGCGAAAGAAGTTGCTCAGTCACCGACTCCGCGTGGTCCGACCCCGCCAGCGTCTCCCCGTGCTTCTGCTCCACCGCGTGATGATTCTAGGAAAGCTAAGGGAAAATGCTCTAAAGCTAAACTTAGCAAAGAGAAGCTAAATCTATCAAGATCACAACCTGATTTGACTAGGTAAGTTAACAAGTGTATACTAAATGGGTGAAAATAATTTAGCGACATCATGAATGCTTTACGGAAGGTCATCAATCACAACGGCGAAGACTTTTTTCTTTAGTGCGTAAAGTCCTGTCTCCCCCTGTATCATAATCAAAGAGTAAGCAGAATGTACTTTATATTTTGAATTTTTTTTTTGTTCCCAAGCGCGGTTGAATTATCATATTAATTGATTATACGATTATATTATGTAGCACAAGTTTGCTGTCGATACCACCTAAAATAGATGCGGATTAAACATTGCGTCTGAATAAACGTCTACTATAGTGTTTAGTTTTAAATCTACATTTATTTCAAGTCTACATTTAAATAAAAAATTTATTAAATAGTCAAAGTTTTGTCCCTGCGAATTCCATATTTTGCGCTTATTTCTCAAACATAATATATCCGACCTGTGTACCATGCATCAATGGAGCTATAAGAGCTTGCTCTCTAATAAATATTGCAGCATTTTTTAATGCGTATAAGGTTGATTATAAATTTTGCTATGACTTTGATTTCAAGAGTATTCTTAGTTTACCTTCCGGGCAGAATACCATAATGGTTTACTCTTGCATTAATGTTTAGAAACATTTGCATTCTTGGCTCAATTTAAGCATTCTTTTGCCATTTTCAGTATTCTTCGCCCCTTATTGTATATAACACCGTGTTATAATAGTTATTTATTTATTATTTTTTATTATTTATTTATTAATACATTTACAATAAAACAATTTACAAAAATTATGAATTAACATCGGTTTCCGCACTAAGCTTGTAGCTTGTAGTAAAAAGGTATTATGCTTGTGCAAATAACTCATTCTATATCTATGTACGGCATTTAGTACAAAGTTGTAGTGACACAGTAATAAACTATACAAAATAAAACATAATTATATTTGTTGTAAAAAATGAAGAAAATGTATCATCTCTTTGAGTTTGATTTTCGTTGTAATATTTTGTGCAAATTTATTGATGAATTTAATTTTTTTTTTTATGCCAAGTCACATTGACGTCAGGCTTAGAATTTTTTAATCTACCCTCATACAATAATTCACACACACTTTATATGTAGTTTCCACACTACATAACAGCTAGACTAATGGATGATCATCATCATCATCATAAATAGCCTTTAGTAGTCCACTGCTGGACATAGGCCTCTCCTTAAAAAGAAGGTTTTGGCCTACTATACCACGCTGGCCATACGGGTTGGTATAGGGTTTGTGTCAAGTTTTCCTTCTCTTTGCAGTGCTGTTGTCCTGCGTAGTTAACTCCCTTAGTCGTCTCTTACGACACCCACGAGATGAATAGGGGTGGCGACACTCCGTATTCTTAATTCCTCACCACACGGAATGACAGACTAATGGATGATCTCTCTAATAAATTTAATTGATCTCTGTAATAATATATTTCTCGGCTTTTTTAAACTTAACTGTGCTTCATATTCAGTTAAGATTAATAAGTTCGATTAGATCATTCCCATATTGATCCAGTGTTGGCGTTCGTGCTGTACCTGGTGGCTCAGAATCAAGTGGTTGGTGCAGTGGCGGTGAAGGGGAACTGGAAGAGCCCGACGATGCTTTTACAGCAGTTCTGGACGCCCTCGCAGCCGAGAACCACCAGCTCAAGAGACAACTGCAGGAAGCTTGTGAACGTGTCGCTAAAACATCAAAGGTAATACTTTATTTTTATTTATTGTATAAAGATGAGGTTCCCATGACATTTCATGTTGGTGATTCCATACCACAGCAGAAGAGTTGTTAAATTGGTAATCGGGCCATCAGCGCATTAGTTGTTATTAGGAAATTGTATTAATTCATTATTGTATTAGCTCAATATCTTCGAGTGCCTAGGTATTTAAATGAAATTGTGCTCAACTACAGTACGAATTTTTTCATAAAATTAAACCCTTTATTTTTTTATTTTAATTTTAATTTATTTTTAATTAACAGCACCGATTACATTATACTAATTGGTAATCTATTTATTTGTGTTATATTGTAGCTGGAGGAAGAGGTGGAGAAGGTACGTACAGCTCACGAGGAGCTGGTGGGTTCGTGCGAGCGGAGGGAGCGGTTGGAGCGAGCGGCGCGGGTCCGACTGCAGGCCGACTGTCGACGGATGCAGGAGCTTAACAGGGCTCTTAAACAACAGGTAGCACCATCATACACACTCACGCTTTTTGGCCTCAGATACCTCCTACCTGGGAGCCGATTGGGTGGTTATGTCCGACTCGAACCGACTAAAACCCTACGCTGTCTCGGGGACCATTAACCGGAGAACCAGGTGTAACCTAGAAAGGAAATCTCTGATACTATTTGAAGGTTCTTAATACCGATTTTACTATATTAAACACAAACATTTAAAACAGATTAACTACTATCGCACATCTCACATCCTCTTGGTTCTGCTTTTTTTTTATCATATAAGTTGTACTACGATATTAATTTAAAAGGCGTGCATTTCTTTTTTACAAACTATAGCCAGTAAGATCTTTCCGTTTTAGTTCATTAAATGAATATTCGATAGGATTCAAATCTGGCCTAAATTAGCACTGTACTGACTGTCCCTTTGATGTGAATATATGACCAGTCCATAGTTTTTTGTTTGCACTTTGTCCAAGTAATGTATTAAGGAAGCTACAGTGAGAAAACGGGCATCATTATGTTTGTTTTGTTGTTGTATGAATGACATCAGAATCCTGGCTCAAAATACATTGTTTTGAAAAGTTTTCTTTTCTTTTCACTTTATGCTTGACTCAACCTGAATCATTATAAGAGAAATGATTATATTGAATGGCGTACAATTTTAATTTGAAGTGTATTTTTATTTACAAAGTGTAGGCGACACCCACACTCGCTCTGATGACTCGTCGCTTACTCTCGTGATAAAATTTCATTCATTTCTGAGGCGAATATGTTGTACAACACTGTACAATTTTTTCAATAAGTGTATAGCGTTATATAACAAAATTTATTCTATATCATATTAATCCTACTATATTTGTATATATATATATATCACGCGATATACTTCTTTTTGCAACTTTCTATAAATTATGTAACAATTAATATTTTATAAGACTGACACACATATGCGTTTAATACAATGAGTTAAACAGCATACTTAAATGAAATGAAAGTTTTATTGTCATGACATGAATAATAATCAGGTAGACATAACACAAGATAACTTTAGAAGTATCTCTTTCAGATGTGCATTACTATTACAAAATTGATACACCTATCAGTACGGCGGAGAAATGAATACAAAAACGTACGTGGTCTTAGTGTACCTACTTAGATTCTCCAAATCTCTGTCATCATCATCATAAACAGGCTTTAATAGTCCACCGCTGGACATAGGCATATCCTTAGAAAGCAGGTTTTGGCCTACTATACCATGGTGGCCAGACGGATTAGTATAAGACAGATTCTCTGTCAATATCGAATATGCATGGAATAAACTAAAGAAATTAAAAGTATGATGTATTAGGTGGAGCTGATGTCGCAAGGCGTGCGCACAGAGAGCGATGGCACCGCGGACGCTCTACGCAAGGAGCTGCAGAGCAGAGAGATGCTAATAGCTCAACTTATCACGCAGAGTAAGATTAAACGTTTTAATTTTTGCAGTTCAGAGCGTATATAAACTAATACGAATTAAGGAGTGGTCCCTTTATGCATACAAATATAATAGCATAGGAATAGTTTTTTTTTTATAATAGTTTAGTTTAATTATATCCTCATAATATCCTATTTATTTCAGTTTAATATATTAATTCAATATCCTTTACTATTATTTCAACCTTGTGTTCGTATCAGACAAGGAGTTAGCATGCGCCAAGGAACGCCAAGAAATCGAAATGGCGGCGCAGCGGGCCACTTTACAGGAACAACGCACACACATCGACATACTCGATACGGCACTCACCAACGCACAATCTAACGTTGTACGTCTTGAGGAAGAGGTGAGCAGTAATTTATATAAATGAAAAATTATTAAAAAAAAATTTTTACCCATGCCATACAATAACATAATATGCCATACAAATAAATTGATAAATTTTTGTATAGAAGATTTTGTATTGAACATTGTACAATGTTGTTTAACACTGCCTTTCTACATTAGTGCTAGCTACCAAATGACATAATTTTGAACCTAAGAATAATGTCATTTGGTGAAACGTAATAGACATAACTTTTTTTTCCAAGCATAAAATAAGTCATAATAGATAGAAACAGTAGACTGGTTTGGCTAGTACACTTGCCAGTTGACTGCTCGGATGGTGTAGTGGTTTAAGCGGTCACCTCGCCGCTTCCTACTACGCTGAGTATTTTGGGTTCGTTCCCCTCATAGGACAACACTGTGCGATCCAGAAGTTGTTGTTCTGAGTCTGGAAGTTCTTTGTGTACGTTTGAATGAATGTTTGTAAAGTCCCCCGCGACACGTTGCGTTGCATGAATTTTAAAATAAGTGAATGTAAGTCCCTTGCCTCCTCCTCTAATCATAGGATGGGAATATGGATATGCGACCCCGCGTTCTTTGAGTTATTGTAGTCTTAGCCTAATTTTCCCATCTAAGACCTTTGGCTAACTCGTCTGTCCAATCAAGCATAAGTCGTTAAATTTTCCTAACAGTTTTCTGACCTCTTCACGCTCTTTTTAATTGGGACACGAAACTACCTTTAAACTTTAAACATACTTTGCACATTTCAGTGTCGTCACGCAAGTGGTTACGTTGAGCGAGTGATGGGATTACAACGTGCGCTAGCCTCATTACAGCAAGCGTCCGACCGGCGGGAATACACCGAGAGAAAGCTGCGTGCTCAGCTGGAGAAAGAGTTGCAGACTTTACGGTAAGAAAATTCACCTTCCTTCAATGTAATATGTGTGATCTATCTGATGAATATACACGTTCGCCCTAATAGTGCGTTCACTATTAGGACGAACGTGTTTATTCATGTATTCATATTCTTGACTTATTTTTCTAAAACGTATGTATGGATGGGGTTTAGGATCAGTATGTCCAATTAGCAGGATGTCCATTTCGCAGAATGTCCAGGTCGCAGAATGTTCAGTTCGCAGAATGACAGGAAGTCCAGTTCGCAGAATGTCCAGTTACCAGAATAACTAGTTCGCAGAATGTCCAATATTCACCCGGCAAGTACCAGAACTACTTGCATTGTAGTAGTAGAATGTTCCACTACCTTAAAGAACCTGAAACGGTAGGTTAGGTTAGTATTGCGACCTGGTTGGCGCTGCATCAGCTATTGAGCGACTTTTGCCCAATCTGGTTGGACCCAGCGTCGCGACGAGACGGCTGTACATGGGGGTTGTCCGGTCAATCGCACTCTACGGTGCACCGGTGTTGGCGGCGGCTCATACCGCCCAGAATTGGGCGCGCCTTTGGCGTCCTCAGACAGTATTGGGGGTTAGAGCCGTGCGCGGTTACCGCACCTTGTCCATCTCCGTCGTGGCGTGCGCGTTGGCCGGAACATCCCCGTGGGATTTTGAGGCGGAATTGCTCGCTGAAGTATATCGGTGGATGACTGAGTTCCAGGCGGTTAGCGGCAGTCGGCCCCCGTCTTAAGACGTACGCTAGTGGCATGAGGCCGCTCGTCGAGCCACGATAATTCGTTGATCGTCCCGGCTGGAGGCTCCACGTGCTGATTTTGCCGCCGTGGCGGCGCTCCAGCTGGTCATCATTGAGTGGGCAGGGCGGCAGTACGGGACCCTTTCCTTCCGACTAATAAAGGTCTTTTCCGGGCACAGCTGCTTCGAAAAGTACCTGCACTCGGTCGCTAAGAGGGAATTGAGTTCCACGAAGAAAAGGTTCGTACTGCGACCAACAACGCACGAACCGCTAGCGGCCGGCGAGTTTAAACGAGTTTAAGGTGACATGCCATATGACAAAAACAAAACTCGTTATGATTTTAACTAGTAACTTGATTACTCATTAAAACACAACGTTATGATGAATATAAGAGTAATATATGAGTTGCAGACGTTCATGGGCGGCGATGGTCACTTTCCATCAGGTGAATCCGTCTGCTCGTCCGCCCCTCTATAATAAAAAAATAACTGGACATACTGCGAACTGCTCATTCACCAAACTGGACATTCTGATAACTGTACATTCTGCGAACTGGACATTCTGCAAACTGTACAATTTGCGAACCGCACACTTTGCAACCGCTGGTCATTTTGCGAATTGGACATTCTGCGCCTAAACGGTGGATGGCAACTTGAACTCGACTTGTAATAGTGATTATGACAGATGGTAATTTAAAATGCCATTTAAAAAACAAATCACTAAAAGGTTGCAATCATACCTACGAATCCAAATCAAGATAGTTTTTGTAAGTTGCTTCCTTCTGGAATACTTCTCACTCTGCACAATGTACCTAACTTAGAAGTAGTATAAAACTTTAATGTTTAAGTGGTGCACGCAATTTTACTTGTTGGTAAACTTTATTTTTGTCTAAGAGTTCATTGTAATGTTTAACTTCACCCATGATATATGTGTTAGATAGCTGTTAAGTTGCCAAATAAATAAGTAATCTATTCAAGTTTTAAAAATATGTAGCGGATAACAATTCAATTGTAGGTTCTGTGATCACTAGTTCCAGAAAATCTATCTTGTTATTCAACTGTTAAATATTAAGGTCTTGAATGATTTACAGAAAGCGAGAATGCAATTGCGGAGGCGCTAGTGGCCCGGGCGGCCCGGGCGGAGGCGAGGCGGAGCTAAGGAGGCAGCTGAGGGAGAGGGACGAGAGACTGCTGGCGCTGGAGGGCGAGTGCGCCAAGTGGGAACAGCGCTACTTGGAGGAAGCCGCGCTACGACAGGCTGCTGTCTCCGCGGCTTCTATACCTAAGTGAGTTGTAGAGCAGGACAAGAGATATTTTCTGACAATATCATTCGTTTTATAAGTACAGGGTTGGTGTACACGCAGTGTTAAGCCGGTGTAACTTCAGACGAACGGTTAAAATTTTCTGTAAAATAATTAAGTTTCTTATTTCGATGGTTACGTTAAGGTTTATTTCGATGGTTACGTTATCAGGGACGCTAAAATAGCGGCGCTAGAGAAGACATCGGCAGAATCTGAGCGCTTGATGGCAGAAGCGCGCAACGAAAAGATAAGGCACATGGATGAACTGCACTCAGCGCAGAAGAAAGTAGCGGACCTAGAAAGCAGGTAAATAGGAAGACTGGATTAAAGCCTGTATTTTCTGACCTTTTACGCTTACTACCTAATACGGTACGCTACTTAATACGCTTGAAGGTTTTGACGTAAATTTATGGATCTTAGAGAAATAATAATTTTGTTTAAGATATCATATAGTTGCAATTTTTTTTAACACATAATTGTGGCTTTTGAAAATTTTGAAATTTAATTTCCTTAACATTAATTTAGTAGTCATTGAGTATAGCCGTTACCATAATTATTTTTAAAAATTGTAATAAAGTAAAACTCTCATTAAACCTTAAAATATGCATAACATCAGGTGTCTCATATTGAATGATTGGTTTTTCAGAGTGAAGGAATTAGAATCGAAGGTGGCAGAACGTGACGCGATGATCAAAGTACTCCAAAAACACACTAGTGCTGCGTACGACAGCGGAGCTTCCCTCAGGAACAATTCCAGCCGTGAGGAACTCGGTAATATATATTTTTAGATAAAGAATATCGGTCACGTGGTTGAGAGTATCTCTAAATCATATTATTTATGATCGTGTTAAATAACGTTTCGGTAGCGTACCGGATGGGGTTCGAGCTAGCGAACATAAGTTATACTCGTTTCGTGTACCAATTATTTAGTGTAAACATATGTAAAGCATGCGAGTGAGAGCAGTGACGTGTGGTGTTGCAGTGGGGCTGTCGTCGGGCGCGTCGTTCTCGAGCGCGGAGGGCGCGGGCGGCGTGCCGGCGCGCTACCGCCACCTGGCGCGCAGGAACTACTCGCCGCACAACGACAACTCCAGCGGTCAGTCTCACGCATGCGCCTCATCACTCTACCTACTCACTAACTACACACACGTATGCAGTATAACGTCCCTGAACTACACATTATCTTATGTGCTTACTTCGCGAGTAAAGAAAACAAAACTATGACCGTTTTTTAAGGGTTCCGTACCTCAAAAGGAAAAAAACGGAACCCTTATGGGATCACTTTGTTATCCGTCTGCCTGTCTGTCGAGACGTTTAATCGAGCTGAAATTAAAACCATATACTCGGGTCTTCATCCTCCTCTTAAGTTAACGTAAAAAAAGATACGACCGTTAATATGGCAAGTAACATCGTCTTATACTTCAAGTACTTGAAAAAATTTGAAAACCATACTGTAATGTAATGTAAGTAAATAAAAAAAAGTCTTTATTTTTTTAAGTACGTGATCAATCATCGAGGTACAATTTCTCTTATAGAACTCAAAAATATATGTAATTATAGGTTTTGGGAACTGAAATTCGGACAAAGCTCGGCAAAACTGCGAGATTCGATTTCTGAACTATTTATAATACCTGTACCTAAAAATGCATGACTCGCACTTGTCCTGATTTTTTTTTCTATTCGTTACCTGTTGATCATATTACCATGTCTACAGAGACCTCGATATGTAAAACGCTGTTGCACGTTTACAGGGTGCGGGTTCGACAGCACGTCGCTCCGCTTGGACGAGCAGCTCGCAGCGCTGGAGTCGCGCCTGGAGCGGCCGCCCGTGCCCGCCGTGAGTTACCTGCCCGCCTCGCCCGACCCCACCCACCAGTCCCACTCCCCCCACTCGCCCCACTCGCCCCACTCGCCCCACTCGCCCCACCAGCGTCCTCATGCCACCTACTACTGACCGAGTCCCAGTTGCCAAATGTCAAAACATAGCAGACTGGCTTTCTGCCGTCTAAAGACAGCTCTTTTGCAAAGATTTAGACAGTCTTGAATTGGTATACTAAAAGTAGACATTTTTTTATAAAATGTGAACAAATTTTATTACCTACTTGTTCTTTTACCACCGGGGTATAATAAAGGTACTCATTCCTTTGCTTCAAAAATATTTGAACACGTACATTCCTATGTAAATAGGAAGAAAATATTCGATAAACAACATTACGATTCGATATCCAGTATGGTTACACAAAATATACATTCGATCGAATCTGATTCGAAGTTGAAACCGATCTCTGAAATTGTAACATTCTACCTAGAGACCGAAATTGATACAATTCATATAAAATATTAGATGAGAAATGAAATATGTGTCATAATTTATAAATACATATTAAATTAGACAAATACGCAACTGTCATTCATTTTTACCTGGCCTATGACGAAAATATGGCCTTTTTCATGTGTTAATATATTTTTTTTATTAATTTTATATTTTGTATGGGTATCTTTCGTGTATTTATATACGAAGATAAAGTAGGGTAAAACTATCATATGTTCTTATCTGCGATCTAGTAAGGAATTTATTAATTTCGGTCTCCATTACTGTTATATTCCAATGTTTCCGATTAACAATAACATTCCTGTTTGTACAATTCCGCTTATTCACACAAACATTCCTTGGTCAATGTACAAATGAACACAAAAGGCTTCGTTTTTGTATAATGTGTGATTTTTGAACTCGAGTTTTTAACCCTAACTGTCATATAGTTTCAGTTAACAATTTAAAAGAAATGGTCCACTTGCAAAATAAATGTAAAAGAATTTACACATAACATGTTGTCAAAATTTGTCTCATTTTGAAAATTATTTATCGAAAGTAAAACTAGCATCCGACTAATCTTAAAATAAATTAAAACAAGTTCTTAGAAAGAATATACTAGAAATACAAATCGCGCAACATGTTAAACTTGATATTGTTTTCTAACAGCATATTCTGTGGAATAGGGCGGCCCAGAGGTTACAATCAAATAAGTTGAACAATTTTGTGCGTGCACTATAGAACTCAATCTAAATTTCAATCTTTATTCAGTTTTTATTTTGCAAGTCGGCCTACTTGTAAAGTTTTTATCAAGGTGCTGTCTTTTTCTTTCTTTATTATTGGTCAGAAAGAGACACGCTAATATGTGCCTTTAATAATGTCTTAACAATACGTGTGGTGCATCATAGCTAATAAGAATCTCTGAAATGATATGTCTGGTTCTCAGGAACTCCACTTGAAATGCCTAGTCTTATAAGTGTAATTGTAAAGTTTTTGTGAATTGATATAGATATTTAAAAAGTTATTTTGTTTAATATTATTCTCTATACATTTAAGTGTTACTATACTCATATAATCCCGTAACATATTTTAAGAACTAGCAACAATAAAGCAAACAATTTATATGTTTTTTTTTAAATTAACAAAATGTTGCTAGTTCATAAAAGTTTAAGTTTTTTTTCTATAGCCTTAAAACCTAAATTAGACTGAAACCTAAGTACTTTTACGCGAACTAAAGAGTAACAATTATAAGTTGTGTGTTATTAGAAATATTATACTGGCATAGCGGGCAATTACTTTGATTGACTCTCGGGTTTTGAAAATACAAAAAGAGTTTAATGTAAAAGGTAATGTCAAAAACCCATTAAATCTGAGTATAATGTGATATATGAAATAAGTGTCAGTTTTCTATACTGAAAGGGTAGCCACGTTCATCACTATTATTTATTTTAGTAGATCATGAAGATCTTTATCGGGCTCTGTCGTAAAATACATTCTTTGCTGTCGTACCCTAGCCATTTACTACCTTCGTAAGAAGTGCCTACGTTTTGCCTTCAAGTACTGATTCTTACACATAATTAGCAGAGTAATATTTTTAATAAGACAATAAAAAGACAAGAAAAAGATCAATTAACACGATTGAAAAATAATTGTGACGAATTTGTAATTTTGTAATTATAACTAAACGTTTTTACGTTGTGTAACTTGAGCGTTGAGCTACTTTGAAAAAATAAACTCAATGCAGCTATATAATAATTAATGTAAAATACATTCAAATAAATTGATATTTTTTTTTCCAATTGTTATTCTCAAAGCAAATAAGAAAGCTGAAACTCTTGTCACAGGTAAACTGGATCTGTCAATTGGTTCGTTTAAATGTTTCTTCACGATTACTACCGAAAATCAGTTGCAAACTATTTGCTGCTCACTTTAATTTGACAGTTTATTATAAGTGACTTCATGTAAAAGAATCTTGAAACTTGTGGTTTTAAATCACCATATTCTAGTAATGTACCGTATATACTAATGTACCGAAATTGTATGCAGATATATTTTGATAAGATGTATTCAATGTATATTAATATTTTTATAGATAGCATGTTTTAGAATAAATATAATGTTTTGTTTGTTGTGGTTTTACTGGCTGTGATGACCTAACATGAAGCTTTGAATGATTGGATACAGGCTACAGGTAAATTCCACGCTTGAGCAATGTTTTGGGGCGTGGCTTCACTAAGCAAAAGTTAATAGTAGGCTATTAGCATTTTACTTTCCTTTAATTGAAAATATAACTGTACAAATTACAGAACCATAATTTTTGATACGGAATTTACAGAAACCATTTTTTCATCGAAGTTTTTTTTTATTTGAATTTTTCTTCTTACACAAGGCAGTTGGTTGTTACCCTTTGCTTAGTAACATCATGCCTTGAAACACTTGGCACAAAAAAGACGAAAATTAAACAATGAACATTAACCATTTGCGTCCTAAGTATTAACATTCATGTATTCGCTTTGTTTGGAGTGTTGCAGTGATTGCCTACTGACACAATTATAATAATACCGTTTTTAATTGACGAATAAAATTACCCTTAATACACTTTTACTCGTCTATTTAGACGTAGATATGAGATTATATTACTAATAAATATTATATATTAATGCTTTATCCGATCATTGTGACTATTGTCAACACTACTATAGCCCATATTAGGGTAAAAAATAACAACGATTTTGGGAAACAAAGTTTGGAGAACACCTGAACACTATCTGGTAATAAAGTTCGGTCACAATTCGGTCCCGATCAACTGACGATCTAGCAAATGTCATAAAAGGCATTGTCGTAGTAAAATAGTCAAGTATTACTCAGACTAACAGATTAACCATTCAATTTTCGGTTACAATACGATATAATCACATTGATTACAGTCAACGTTGGAAGTTTAATACTTGACTACTAAAATACCTTTTATGACAGTTGTGAGATCTAGAGTTGATCGGGACAGAATTGTGACCGAACTTTTATTACGACAATTGGCCTTCTGGTATTTTTTAAACTTACTTTCTCTATTTAAGGAAGAAAGAGATGTACAAACTCTTGCAACTTGGAATGATTACGTTTACCAGTGGCTATCTCATTGATCGGTAGAGCAAGTTTATAAGGCGTGGTACAAAGGCGTTTTAGGAGATAGACTTGTTCCGAGCATATTTCACGAGGCGATTTGTAATCGGTATACCTAAGTATAGAAAACAATTGGTAATTTTACAGAATTAACAAAAGTGGACATCCCCGGATAGTATAGTAGATGACGGATTCCAAAAGTAAAGAATCTAATAATTTTGGGGGTTTGCTAGGAACTCTTCAAAATTTATATAGATACATTCATAGAGAAACCTGTTTCTCTGTACTCTTAGAAAACACGATTTGGTGAAGTGAAACTTACGATGTATAAGAAGAAGTTGCACTGGTTATCCATCTTATAAACATGAGACTTTATTTAAAAACTATTTGTTTTATTCATTTATTTATGCATATAATATAAAGTACGTACAAACATATAAATATAAAACTCGATTCATACAAATATTCAAAATAGTTGTTAGTCTGCTGTAAAGTGTTTTTTACCATTAATTAAGAGTATCATTAATATGACTGACAATAAACGCGACAGACTCTTGGAATGGCTATAGCGTTGTTCAATTTTATATTTCCCATATAAATCCTCAATGAGCAGTTTATACGAACATGATAGCAGGCCATAAAGTTACATAACATGGAAACTAACGTAGGTATTAGTATTATAACTGTTTCCGATTGATGTTGAATATTGCATGTATTTAATTTGAAAACTTAATAAATACTCAGAAGATAAAGTAACATTAATAACTTTTTTCAGGATAGATTGTTGAAGAGAAACGAAACAAAGTAAAACGTGAGAAATAACTAATTTATTATGCAATACTTTTGTATAGTTTTGTTTTACTTACTTTAATTCATGAGTTTAAAATTGAAACCCAATGTATTATTTAGACATAGGCTTCATTATATAATAAACATTTAAGAATAAACTGAACCAGATGAATAAAGACATTGCACAGTAAATGGATTTGAAAAAGGCAAGAATACAGAAGGCCAAATCCCGTAATTCAAGTTGGTCAAATTTCGGTTCTGATCAACTTTCGAGCTCGCAACTGTCACAACAGGTATTTTCGTAGTAAAATAGTAAAGTATTCTTATAGATTTTTTCGATTCAATTTTCATTGCAGTTCAGTTACAATACGATATAATCACATTACATACAGTCAACGTTGGATGTTTAATACTATACTACGAACATACCTTTTATGACAGTTATGAGATGGAGAGGTAGGTAATTGGAACTGAATTGTGACCAAACTTTTATTACGAGAATTGGCCTTCAAGTCAAGACATTTATAAGTAAATGTTTTCATTTAGAGAAGAAGAATAAATGAGATTTAAGAATTAATTAATTGCCGTCTCTTAAAAGTATTGCTCGAGATCTACGCCAGGGCTGCGATCCTACATATTGCTTGTGAAACCAAACAAAAAAAAATTTACTTAAGTAATTGGTGCTAAAAAATGTATGTCATGCAAGATCCCATAATTACCAAACCGGTGTGAGGTATATCAATACAGAGAAAATCGTCTAGTTCATAAGTTGAACAGTCGCTTCGAGCGCGGCGATTGATTACTGTCCACCTACTAAGTTTTGACCGGTTTTACCAAAGTACTACGTAGCTTCGACCTGCAGTTGCAATTGTGTTAATATAGATTTAATAAATCAATTCCCTATTCCTCAGAAATAGTATCTTTTATAACAAATTGACGTCGAATCTTGGATTTAGTTAAGTGTTGCGACAACTATTTTGTACTAGCTAACTCTCCATTAAAGTTAACTCTGTTCTTAAGATTCCGTACATGCAAAAAACAATATAACACAGCTCCATATCTACTCAACCGACTGTCGTGAAATTTCAATTGTTGTGACCTACACAGAGAATATTTAATCTTCGGCCATACTTATTAACAATTCTAATGAAAGTACTGTGACTGTCTGAAATTTATATTCTTGTTACAACTCTTAAGGTCTATAGTTTTAAATTATTACAAGAAAACTAATATTTCTTGTAACCTATAACTACTCTTAAACAACTCTAAAACTCTTAACGTCTTAAGCAATTTGGGACAAATTATTGGCTCATTTGGCCTTTATTTTTTTACTAAACGTCTAAAGAGCACTCTATCTACGAGTACGCTCTGTAGAACCTGGTATGTAATATTAACTTATAATACAGATCGCATAACACAAGTACTTAATTCCCTCGCGTTCCGGTCTATAATCATGCGGCGATTTTGAGACATAAATAAAAATGTCTAGGTAACTAATAGACTAGGCGTTCGCTTTTATATATATTGCTCGTTTCTTCTCGAGAAAATTAAAATTAGAGTACCGCATCCACCCTTAGCAGTACCTCGAACAAATAACAACTACCTACCGCAATAATTCCTTTATTATTCAAGCCAGTAAATCTGTAAATGATATGCATAAATTGAGTAGCGAGTTTGAGCTCTTCAGATCCAGACCTTCACCTGTCAAAAAATACATGCCTCAATAATTTTTTTTAAGCCCAATATTAGGAGCGTGACATTTTCTTAGTCTAAGTTTTTCTTTTTTCTAAGTTGTAAATAGATTCCAATTGTAAAACAACAGTTCAAATAACTTAGCAACTAAGTTATTTGAACTGTTGTTTTACACTTGGAATCTATTTGCGAATACCTGTAAATAGCTTCGTTGTTACTTTACTGTAATGTTTTACCTTGCGTTATTTGTGCTGTTGGTATTCCGAACAAAATAAAATAAAAAAATCTTTAGATTGTACATTTGTTCCCACACACGAGGGGGTCATTTACAAGCCGTAGATGGCCCTGGGTCCGTCGGAGTACCAGGGATTTTCTTTCTAGGGTAAACCTGGTTCACCGGCTGCTGGTACCCGAGATGGAATACGGTTTTTGGTCGGTTTAAGTCCGACATAACTACCAGTGGTATCCGAGGGGATTTCCGCACAGGAAAAAATGAAAAGGAGGGAAAGCATTATAACGAAAAGGTCAAAGCAGCTTGAGGGCGCACACCTGTAACCAGTAACTGGAATTGGCTGTTACTGGAGAGTATGGGCCCTCTAACTGAAGATCCTCAGAGCCCTTTTCCCCAACTAGGTTCGAGTCGGCTTTAAGTCTAGTACGACACGGCTGAACTTCGATTTTTAGAGTGGAAGAGCGTTTCAGACGAGGGCAGATTGAATGAGGAAGGAAGAATGAACACACGCGGAAGTATGCGAGGGGCATAACAGAAGAAGATTATTCGTGGAGCGAAGGGTTCTCTCATGATTTGGAAGGAGGATGTCAAGTAAGTAGGTGAGTCGAGAATAGTATAAAGAGTGGTAAGGACACGCAGGTGACGGCGCTGTCGAATCGAGAGTCAATTTAACTTAAGGCGGAAGCAGGAAACATGGTCAAATTTACGGAGATTGAAAATAAATCGAAAGTAGTTATTCAGAAGTCAGTATTCCTTTTACTAAAGATGTATTAGATAAAGTTATAAAATATAAGATAGGGACAGTAGCGAGATATAAATCTGATGCCAGTATTAATATTAAATTTTTGCGGTTTCAAATGTCGTAAAGCGAGCTAACCATGTCTGTACAGTCAAAACTGATGTCAAGGGTAGGCAGACGGTCTATATTTAATATTTCAAATGTCAAATAAATAAAAGGGGTTAAAGTATGTAATTGCCGTTGTTTAGTAATAGATACTTTCAATTGACATAAAACCTTCATGGTGTGAGATTTTCGTGTGAAAAATTTTGCACATGATACCTATGAGATTCTTATTTTAAAAAATGTGCATCATTCGATTTTCGAATTTCAATTGTTTTTTTATTCAGCTTAGACATGAAAGATGGATACTTTGCAAATTCGAGTCACTTTTGAATACGAGTTCCGAGGTGGAACCAATGCGGCAGAAACGGCTCGCAATATCAACGCTGAGTTAGGAGGAGACTATACTGTACTGTGTGTAATATACGTAGCGTGCGTTTTTGGTTTAAACGCTTTCGTAATGGATACTTCGACATGGAGAACGAACCACGTGGAATACATAGGTGAATAACGCTGAATGAAGGGAATGGTGGAAGCCAATCCGAGTCAAACTATCCAGGAATTAGCGGCATGGTTTAACGTTAATTTCACATTCAATAAGATAAAAAAGTATGAAAAATGGGTGCCTCATAATTTGAATGATCTGCAGAAAGAAATGTGTGTTCAAACTTGTGTTGCCTTGTTAAATCGGTACAGAAATGAAGGAATATTGGATCGAATTGTGACATATGACGAAAATTGGATTGTTTACGATAACCGTAAGCGAAAACTGCAATGGCTGACCCTAAGTCAAACGCCGCAACAGTACCCTAAAGCAAAGCTTTATTGGTATCTTCATGGTGTTATTCACTATAGCTTTCTCAGGTCTGGTCAGGCAATAACAGCAAATGTTTATTGTGCCGAACTTCGAACAATGATGGCGAAACTGGCAGTGAAACAGCCCTGACTCGTGAATCAATCTTCATCATTATTGCTCCATGATAAGAAAACGCAAGACCACACTGCACGAGAAACCGTTGTATCTCTACAGGAGCTGCGGTTAGAAACCATACTAGCCAGACTTTAGTCCAACGCACTACCATTTTTTTCGTGATTTGGATAATTTTCTACGTGATAAAAAAAAACCCAGGAAGTAGTACAAAATGCTTTCACAGTTTGTCAAATCTAGATCCTCTGAGTTCTATCTTAAAGGCATACTCGTAAATGAACTGCTGTTTAGTTATAATTAATAAAAATTAAATATATATATAATGAGGGTAAATATTTTGATTAAATAAATATGTTACATCTTTAAAAAAAAGAGTTCTAATATGTAAATGCTGACGTTTTTCCACTACCAGCTACATAAAAACAAGGATTTAAGGTTTTAAACGGTACTATTAATTGGCATTTCTATAGTTTAGTTTATTATTGTTTAAAAAACTAAAATATCCAGCGGTGTCAGCGGTACCTACTAAATTAAAAAAAAGTTCTCTCACAGCGTGATTTACTAAAATGAGGAAATTTAAAAGGTGATCACAAAATTATATCCAACTATTATGATAATTAGTTAGTATTTTGAACTTTTAGTCGCACATTCTTTTTCATTTTGGTCTCTAGTTACATTCTTGTTTGTTTTTGTAACCGAAGTACGGATATTTTTGTCAACTCATAAATAGCGAACTATGTGTTGTATAATGAATTCAAAAAAATTATTTCATAAATAGCGCGGCCTTTGCTGTTTTCCTGGACTGGGTACAGTTGGAGCTCGCGGCGGTAGCGGTCGTGGTGAAGAAGCTCTCCTTTTAGAACGCCAAGGCCGAGCCTCGCAGCAGACCAGGTCTTCAAGTTTACCACCACCACCCTCCGCTTTACCGCGTCCGCCGAGGAAACCCTCCGCAAGAAATACAAGATACGACCGTTTAGAACATAGAGATGCTCGAAAGGTAAATGTTAAAAGCTTTAGTTTAAATGTCCATGTCAAAAGAAAAGCAGCTTTCACAAGGGGAACCCATTAGAATATAAGGTAATAAAATCGGAAACGATTTATTACAATCCGGTTACTTGCTCTTTAAAGTGCATGACAGGTACGTGAAAATTGTGACGAGAGTAATAAATTATTTGTGCTAACAGTGTTCCAGAGTCAGACTTAGTATCTAGTTGGTAAATTCGCGGTAGGTTTATCTTTGCTCTATATTATCCCGAGAATCGCTGTTCATCCACATTTCCTTTAAAGCATCTACCGGTTTTCAATCCAGTTTATTCGAGCTCATCTAGCTATTTACAAAACTTGTCCTAGTCCTAGTAGAAGTAGATGATACGCGGTTAATTATATTATAGATGAACGACCATTAATCTCGTAGGACGGCAGGAGCGCGATAATTGCGTCAGTTATTTTTTTAAATTTTGATGAATCTATTGTGTGTAAAATTAATATTGTATAAAAGATAACGTAAGATAAGAAAAGTTGTCGGCACTCTAAATGTCACACACAAGCAAGCCATCATATACTCTAAAAAATATTTTTGGTACCAATACGTAGTGTGAAGGTAAAAGAAAAGGTTGTAAGTACGGTACGGATAGGACGCTAACAGATACTAAACATTCGAAACTTCCTCAATCCCTTTGAGCTGATGTAAACTGTGTAAACGAGCAGACGGACGAGGCGCCTAATAAAAAGTAACTCCCGCCACCCCTGAACGCCTGCAACTCAGGAGTCACAAACGCGTTGCGGGGTTTTAGGAAGGAGTACGCTCTTTCATTATAGTATAGGTCCGGGAACACCGCAGGCCATAATTTGTGCCACAGATTGGTTGTGTTTCTCATGTGTCACAGTGGTGAAGTGCCAACTATCCAGATATGGGGATGAAAGTCCTGCCGCGTGGAACGATGATGATGGAAAGTTGCGGCTGGTATTAGTCCAAACAATACCTCGGAGCAAACTCTTTCCATATTTATGTTACAGGACTCGGATGGATCTGGCTCTATAGCATCAAGTGCTTCTCGCAGTTCTCCTCTGCCCTACGATACAGTCCGAAAACTGCCGTCAGTACCAACCTCTGCGTCTCTTCCTGCAGCTGAATCAAGAGAATCTCTCGTCCGCCCTAGAGACTCTAGTTTGCCTTCACCTTCGAAACTGGCTGTATATGCAGCAGCCAGGCGGCGGTCAGCAGAGTCCGCTAAAGATAACAAACGCACACATCACTACCGGATTCAGTTTTAAAAAGCCATAATGTAAATGAAAGTGCTAACCGACTCTAAACATTATTTCGGTCATGTGAAAGTGGAGTTAGTTTTGTTGCCGTTTTGTTTGCGTTATCATGTAGATATGTATGATTTTTTGATAGGAAAGATTCTGGTTTGAGCACTGAGAATAGGTCAAGCTTAATTGCATTTCATAACATATGTCTTCATTGCATACGATGACTATCACCAACAGTTTATTAAAGAAATTGAAATGCATTAAATAAAAAGTTAAAGAATACAAATAAAAGCAAGGGAAGCTAGCCACGACAACTCCTGTGGTCACTCATTAATGCTTGTGGTGCATTAATTAATGGTGCTTTTCAAGGAATTTTATAATATTATAACTTTACTTTTACCAATATCTTTCAGTAAAATATTTTTACGACAATTGAGATCTAGCGCCCCACGCTTTTTTAAGATAAAATAATTTTTCTTTTTTAACTTATAGAAAATTATTTCCTACTTTTTAGCTTGGCCAGCTACAAAGGCGTTTTTTTTTGTTTTTTTTTAACTACAAATTATTTTACCTTTTTTAGTCATTAAAGATGATTATGATCTTATTAGGACTAAAAAAGTAAGTTTATCACGTTTGTTTCACACACACACACGCCTTAGTAGGCACGTGACATACCGTATTTAGATATGGAATAAGAAGTTAATCCTGAAGGACCTGATAAGGATAATGGTACAAACTATTTAAATGATTGCATTGTCATCAGTCCTTGATATGTGGGGAAAGTTGCAATTCAATTCGATGTTTTTAAGTGGGTCAAAATCACGTTCGAAGATTCCATTCCATACCAAGCTAATAAAGCGTGTTAAAAATAAAGTTCTGTTTGTTGTCAAGCGCATCACTTGCGAGCAGCTGACTAGATTTATATATTACACCCATATAACATGGATAAGTTAAAACATTTAACTAATGTGATTGTTAATGGATTTAGGTCTTGGCTAACGATTAAAACTTACGTTTTAATAGCTAAGGCAAGCATTTGCACAAATATTATTTTAAAACATGACTCTCCTTGTCTGTTACGATTTAACGCATCTATCGTCAATTGTTTGTAAGCACTATTAGGGCGTGAGAATAATATTTACAAGGTATTTTGAGTTAGCAGTTCGCGGCAGTGAAATCATTATTTTAGATCTTAATTTGAAAAAACAATTCAAATCTGGTTGCTGTGCATAATATGAAAATAGAATAAACAAAAACATAAGTTCATTTTATCGATAGGCATTCAACCCGTGCACGCTCTTACCAATGATAACTCAATTAGCAGTATGGAACATGATATTGGCATGTTTAATTTTATCTCGATAATCGAGAATATGGTAAATAAACATAGAACCGAGACCGTAACAACAATTTAATGTTCATTTAAATATCATTTTGACGTAACTTGCATTTAAGAGATATCGCAATATGGCTATAGATTTTATAAGAGCCAATCTTATAGATGCCACCATTTCATTTTGTAGAATAATAGTTGTTTGATCTTTATCAAAAATATTTAAATAAAACAAAAAAGTATTTGGTACAAGTTCTCATTAGTTTGAAACTAGATGGCATTGTGTGTCAGAGTTTAGAAAATATTATTATTATTTAATAAAAATTGGAGATATGACAAGTACTGCGATATAGAATAACAAATAATTATACAAAACACAGAATTCTTTTATTAGATATGACTAATAAAAGAATTTTGTGCTTTGTATTTCTGAACATGGCTTATAAAAGTTTTTTTTAACACTGGTTAATAATTTCCTAACACTATTTATTTGTGAGGCTGTGGAACCACTACCACTAATCGAGCAAGCTTACCTGTAAAAAGACATAGGTGTCCCACGGTTTACTGTTAAGTACTACAATTTAATTGGACACGCGCTAATACTCGTATATGGAAATATTACATTACATAATAATAAAAAAAATCACAGCAGACGCTGTAACGCCAACAAGGACAAAAACACAGTAATAATCTTTGAAAGGAAAACTAATGATCTTTATAAATAGTCAATGAATAGAAGAAAATTGTGTATCCTGCTGATATGATTTCATGGTAATTGTGTGCGTGATGAATAAATTCCTAATGAATAAATAACTCCTATTAATGTAACCACATAGGTAGCCTATTTTGACTGTACATTAAAAACGTAGGACATTTTTATAAGAATTTAGAAGTACCTAATTAGAATTAGGTATTTAGTACATTGGACCTAGCCATGTCCAATAAACCTCTACAAAGATCAATTAATTCGGCTAAACATTAACCTAGTACATTATACTAAATACAGCACATAAATTTTGTTTTACTTTATTGGGGTCAATAGTTAGCCGAATATGACAGATAGGTATTTCAAATTTGTACGCCTCCTTGCACTCCCTTCTCACTACCTTTTATGAAAGATCTTTGCAAGAGGTTACTCAATTCTAAATACGGTTCTGTGGAACCGTATTTAGAATTCATCATCATCAACAGCCCTTAACAGTCCAATGCTGGACATAGGCCTCTCCTTACAATGGAGGTTTTAGCCCACTATACCAAGCTGGCCAGACGGGTTGGTATAGGATTTGTTTTCAGTTTTCCTTCTCTTTGCAGTGGTTTTGTTCTGCGTAGTTTGCTCCCTTAGTCGGCTCTTACGACACCCACGGGATGAATAGATGTGAAATTTGATATGAATTGTAAATGTAATAAGTGCATATTATGTTACACTTACTCGCATAATAAGTGCTAAATATAGACCAATAAAAAGGCAACTACCCCTTTTTCTATCATGAAGCAGTCTGTGCAGCCGCACGCTGCACAGCCGTTTAGAAGCGTAATTCAAGTATGTTTTCAGTAAGTGAAGGCGGTCTATTTAGTTATTGTTTTATTATTTTGTGTGGTGTAATGGGTGCTGTGTCCCTCAAAAAGACTACAAATATACATATATAGATATACAACGTACATATATACAAATATAGTACCCTTAAATGTTGGGAAGTTTTATAAATAACGAATACGAAAACTTTCTTTATGTTTTTCAGAAATGGTCGTTTCAGATGAGATTATATTTGCTAGATAACGTTGAAGTATGTTTTTGTTTTCAATGTTAGTTTGTATGTACGTATCGTAAAATTACGATAAAAACCTTAACATAATAAGATAAATGATTCTAAAAACTTATCGACTGTATTGACTACTCTTGCTCAGATATTCTTTCAAAAATACAATACAATAAAATACTCCTTTCATAATCGTTCTCATCATCAATTCATCATCAAAATTTAATAAAAGAATCTTACTTTTTTTAAAGGACAATTTACAAACTCAATAATACAAACGTTAAATAGGTAGATATAACTCAGAGATGACTCAGAGCATTACTGTTCAAGATAACTTTAGGAGAAAGTTAACTGTTTGTTTGTTACTTAGATTCCAATACAATTGAGTCCTTTCTCCCTTTTTGCAATCTATTATGCTATTTTGGCTCAGAGTTCAGTGTTTTCGTGAGTCACTGGTGCTTATCACTGGCTTATTACTTATTTAAGAAATCTGATAAATCATTCATTCATTCATTCAATCATTCATCTTAAATCATTCTTAGCTGTGGCTAGTCACAAACTATTAGATTAGTTATTTATTTGTTCGTTATTCGTAGGGTAGGTATCGTAAGAGCCGACTAAGAGAACAAACTACGCAGGACAACAGCACTGCAAAGAGACGAAAAACTTGACACAAACCCTATACCAACCCGTCTGGTCAGCGTGGTATAGTAGGGCTAAACAAAAAAAAAGGTGAGGCCTATGTCCAGAAGTCGACTATCAAAGGCAGTCGATGATGATGATTCGTTTTACAGTTATTTTATCGATTTAGGTACCTTGGTATTTAGGTAATCCAGTTATCTATATCATTTCGGTGACGAGCCAGTCTATACATATTTATACGAGTAAATCAAAATATTTTGTTTTTATTTGCACACAAAATGTTATAAAACTTTCCATAAAGATGTACTTAAATTGTTGTTGTTATGACTAGTTAAAAAAACCTACGTGAATAATATTACTTAATGTTTGTAAAGTAAAAACGGGCTTTTGCGTAATACCCACGTAAATAAATCCGAAATTCCTTAAATAATTTGACTATTTTTGACGTAAAAATATTATAAGCATTTCGGTCCCACGTAGGTGGAAGGCCACGTTTTGCCAAGTATGTATATTTTTGTAAACGGCTTACGATATATATCTAATTTTCGATTGATGTGACCTCTTCTTACCTATTTAATTTAAGTACATTTATGTAAAGAATATTATTCTACTCATCTGATAATTATTGATGATATTTTAAAACAATATATAATGCTAAAGGCTAGTTATTATGACTTCCAGTTAACTTATAAATGACATTTGAATGCCAGCATAAAAAGAAAGTCAAATTAACTCCTTTTCATCACAGGAAAGTATTACCTTTGACTTTAAATTCGAATAGTATTTAGTTATTTTCCAATTAAGCATCTACTCAGGTTCATCAATATCAGTAATAACTTTATTCTACTAAGGATGTCTTCATGCAAGTTCAATAAACAACTTTCATACTCAGACTCAGATCGATGACCAGTTGGCTACAAAAACTAGTTCACCTTTGCATCAATGAATCATCAGCAAAACCGATTACCTCTGGAGCCATCGAAAGCTCCAAGTTATTATATGAAATACTATACAGACTAATAAATATTGTCGGAGATCGCAATACCCGATAATTGGAACATAAAAACTTATTAGTTGACTTCAATTTACTTTATTTTCAAAACTATTATTATATTTCAAGTCGTGATGTGCATCATATCATAATGTTATAGTTTTAACAGCTCAAGTAGATGTAAAATAATGACCTCGTATGCACTAAGGAAATATTACGTCAGGATTTAAATAGGTAACTAAAAAGAATCAAAAACTTTTTTAGAATATTAGAGTAACACAAAAAAAAAGGTTACCTA